AAGAAGGGCCAGATCCATGGGAAGTTTCCCTGTCCTTATGGCCTGTGATCAATACCTATACACTTGATCAGTAGATAGATCCTTTATGACATTGCCACACAGTGAAGCAAGAGGTTCTCCAGTTGAGAGTTGGGTGAAAGAAGGATTAATTTCTGTAGTAGTGTCTAGCATCTTGCCAATGTTACCTATTCACTTGTTGATAGATAAGGTCTTCCCATTGAGTGGTGTGATAAAGTATCACATGTATAACTTGTTGGTGTGGAAGGCACAAACCAACCAGACCAGTTCACTACCAAGCTTGAAATCTTTGAAATTTGGGGAGGTTGCTCATATGCATGAATGACTTGTGTTGTTTTCTGTTTAGAAGCAATTGTAGGTGCATTGTAGAAGCATTGGTTAGGATGGTAGTAGTAGCAGCACTGATAGACAAGTAATTTTTAACACATGGATGAAGATTCTTCAGCCTGTGTAAGAAGCAAATATAGCTACAGCACAACATTTGTGAATTATATGTCTGTGTGTAATTGCAATACACAATTTAATGAAAAATAGGTATAATATATAAATAATAATAATAATAATAATAATAATATAACATCAAGTACTTGGCAATCATTTTAAATAATTTTTATCCAATTTTGCACACATTTTTTCCTCATTTTTTAAAAAATAAGATAAATTTGAAATTATTGGAAATTGCACCAAAATGTAAAAAGTCAATATGTTTAATGTAGATATTTACCAATCAAAACTAAATCATATTAATATAACCAAAATATCTTTTGAATTCCCAAGTCATATTAAAACTTTTTAGCTCCCCTCATTTTTGGAATCTGAAAGTTGAAAAATTCAACACGCCCTATTCCCACAGATTAATCGCCTATAATCCCCAAGGCTCTTCACCTCCCCCTCTTCTTAAATTTTCCCCTCCTCACTTTTAACTCAACCTAATATTTAGCCTTCTTTATTGCCCAAGATGATTTCCTTTCCCACTATTAATAACCTCAAGTAACTGTCAACGGTTATTACATTCACCCACTTAGAACTTGTCTAGACGGGATGGTGGTGGGGGTAATTTGCACCAGAGTAATTTATATCCACACAATCCTGCAAAAATGGCTTGTGTCTCTTTTGCACTTTTCATATGCATGTGTTTTCCTTCCTAAAAAGTCGGAAGTGTCCTGGGGGCAGGGGTGGGCTGAAGATACTTTGGATTATAACTCCCACCAGCCCCCTCCCATCTAGGTTGGTGGCTATCACTCCCTTCTGTTGCATGAAGAAATCCTTCCTTTTCTGTCCTGAGTCTTCCACCATCCATTTTGATTGGATGCCCACAAGTTATAGTGTTATGAGAGGGGGAGAGTTGTTTTTTTAAAAAAATCTCTATCCACTTCCTATGTGTCATGCATTATTTTATAAAATTCTATCAGGTCAACTTTTCTAAACCTTTTCTAAACCAGAAACTTCCAAACTCTGCAGGTACATGTGAAAAGTATCCAGGAGTCTTAGTAGACCACAAGTTTTACATGAGTCAACAGGGTGCTGACCTGTGCTCATGATTGTTTGACATCTTTATAAATGACTTGGACAAGGCGATTGAGGAGATGCTCATCCGATTTGCAGACAACACCAAACATGAAGGAGTGCAATAACTAACACTGCAGTACAGAATCAGGATTCAACAAATTGGAGAACTGGACCAAAACTAACAAAATTAATTTCAATAATAAAAATGTAAGGTTTTACACTTATGCAGGAATAACTAGATGCACAAATGTGGGATGGGGGGGGGGCACCTGACTTGATAGCAGTCCATGAAAAAAAGGATTTAAGAGCCTTAGTAGACTACAAACTTAACATGAGTCAACAGTGTGATACAGCAACAAGCAAAGCTAATGGAATTCATTAACAGATGTCTAGCGTCCAAATGAAAGGGAGTCATAGTAGTAGTAGTAGTAGTAGTAGTAGTAGTAGCAGTAGCTGAAGAGTTTGGATAGAGTACTGCTCTATTCTGCCTTGTTCAGATCCCACCTGGAGTCCTGGGTCCAATTCTGGGCACCACAGTTTAAGGGATATTGACAAGCCAGAAGCTTGTCAGAAGCCAGAAGGGTGAGCAAGGTGATCAAGGGTCTGGAAGCCAAGCCTTATGAGGAACGGTTGAAGGAGCTGGATATGCTCAGCTTGGAGGGTAGGACCCAAACCAACAGATTCAAATTATAAGGAGATTCTGGCTAAATATTAGGAAGAACTTTATGACAGAATGGTTTGACAGTGTGGACTCTCCTTGGAGGTTATTAAGCAGAAGTTGGGTGGCTATCTATCAGGACTTCTTTTGCTGTGATTCTTGTATTGCAGGTATTGTATAAAATACCCCTTGTTGTAGTTTCCAGCTAGGGCCCAGGAGATGTACAGGGAGTACATTGTAATCCTGCCTAGGATAAAAAAAGCGGGGGTCCTCGGGAGCTCCCGGAGGGGAGCCTGAAATTTCCTGGGAAGTTAGAAAACCTTTCAGGATATTGTGTGAAGAGTAGCATTTACATTTTGTGTAAAGGTAAAAGGACCCCTGACCATTAGGTCCAGTCATGACCGACTCTGGGTTGCAGCGCTCATTTCGATTTACTGGCCGAGGGAGCCGGTGTACAGCTTCCAGGTCCTGTGTCCAGCATGACTAAGCCGCTTCTGGCGAACCAGAGTTGCCCACGGAAACAAGGACTCGACTCGCTGAATTGCTCTCCAGGTGGGACCCCATCCTTCAGGAACATGTGCTAAGAGTCACAGAAAAGGAATGAATGGCATCAAGTTCATTATCTGTCCCCTGACTCACAAAATGAATTTATTGCATAATGTGCAAATCTTGTGAAACAGCACATTTCATTTGAGAGGCAATCTGCAAAGTACTTTGCAGTAATAGTAGATTCCACACCGGATTCTTCCCATATTGAACAAACAACATTTCTTTTGAGATATGTACTTTTAAAAGAAACACAAAATGAGAGTCAAGAAAGATTTCTCAAGTTTGCAGATCGTAGCAACAAAAGTGGGGAAGAAATTGCTCGATTGATAACTGATACATTGAAAGAACATGCTATTCTGACAGGTGATTGTAGAGCTGAAGCCTATGGTAATGGGGCAAATATGGACAGAAAAGACAACAGCACAGATGCAAAAATACATGAACACTACTTAACGACATTTTTTCCCCACCTTGTGGTTGTCACACACCCAACTTATGTGGAAATGTTGCTGCTGAAGGCATACCTGAAGCAATAACCCTTTTCACAACAATTCAAACCGCACACCACCTGTTCAGTTCCTGTCCTAAATGGTGGGAAATCCTACAAAACCATATTGCCTGTTCTCTTTAAAGTATGTCTGAAAGAAGATGGTCAGATTGTGTTGAATGTGTTGCTTTTGCATCTCACTTGCCTGGTATTAAATTAGCGCTGGAAGACCTAGAACTAAATTTGACAGCCAAAACAAGAAATGAACTCCATGGAGTTTTATTATATGAGATACCTTTTGCCTGTGTGTCAATATCAGCTGTGTGAGACAAAATATTAGCTGGCATAGATATTTGCAACAAGGTCATCTAAGCTAGAATTGCCACACTGGTTGTTGAAGTAGCAAACATAGAAACTCTCTTCACAGAGCTGACAAAACTTTGAAACAACTGGAAATGCATGTGGAATGAAGCCAGATTGGTTGTGTCAAACCTAAACAAAGGGGGGGGGGGGAATCTCCTGTAGATGTGATGGAGTTAGGTGCAAGAGAGCAAGGCCACATAATTAAAGCACACCTGATGCTAACATGGAAGAAATGTTACACAGGTTATACTCCAGAAGAGGCCTACTTCAGAAAGTGTATCTTTTATGTTTTGGTAGACAATGTTCCAGCAGGATTAACTGTCTGTTCAACACTGTGAAACAGTTGGCAGAAAAAATTGATTTCTTGTGGAAATATCCACCATGTCCGAGAGTGATGTGAAGAGAAAAGCTTTACCTTATCAGAGCAATATCCTGCTTGACCTTAATGATGATGATTTTAGAAAACAAATGCAAAGTTTATCCTCACTATGTAAAGCAAATTTTCTAAATACAGTTAAAGCTTTTAGATCTGTTGAACTTGTTAAGAGAGTTCACTTAGTGACCTGTTTCCAAAAGTTTGTGTTAGTTTAAGAATACTATTAACAATTCTAGCAACAATTGCTTCTGAAGCAAGGTCATTTAGCAAAATAATTAAGAATTATTTAAGATCTACAATATCTCAGGAACGTCTTGTGGATTTGGCCAGGCTAAGTATTGAATCAAACATTGCCGGAACAATTAATTTTCACATTGTGATTCAAATTTTTCCCCACAAAAAAGGCCAGCTCTTTTAAAAAGTAAATAGGGGTTTTTTTTGTCAGCCTGGATAGCTCAGTTGGTTAGAGCATGGTGCTGATCATGCCAAGGTTGCACGTTCAATCCCTGTATGGGACAACTACATGTTCCTGCATTGCAGGGGGTTGGACTAGATGATCCTCAGGTTTCCTCCAACTCTATGATTCTCTACCTTTTAAAAAATTATTATTACTAATGACTTCTGATGAGCTGATCTACATTCCTTTTATTTTATTTTATTTTTTGAAATCTACATTCTAATACAAAAGGATATTTCAAAGTGAATTATTTCTCCTAATCTGTATTGTAGCATAAACAAAGATCGGATCAAATGTCCTTTCTTATCTCTGATCCTCTTTTATTGTATTTATATTTATTTATATATTCCATGAAGGAAGTGTAAGAGCACAAGGTCTTAAATGCAGAAAATTAACAGAGCATTCCAATCCAGACCTCTCTCACCTTCCATACCATTCATGGCACAAAAACTGTACTAGCAGATAAAAACAGACGTGACTAATGGAGAAGGGAAGGGGCTCCAAAGAAACTTCGTACCCCATGATAAAATTCCTCTCGGAGGCCCTGCTTCCAACTATACTGTTCCGTGATTCTACAGAGTGGGCTGTAGCTCTATGGTAGAGCATCTGCTTTGCATGCAGAAGGTCTCAGGTCCAATTCCTAGTTAAAGCTGGGAAAGTCCCCGGCCTGAGTGAGACTCTGCAGAGCTGCTGCCAGTCAGTACAGGCAATACTGAAGCAGATGGATCAACAGCCTGACCCTTATCCCCCTCCCAGAGCTACAATTCCCAGATTAATTGTTAAATTGACTGGAAGTGATGGGAGCTGTAGTCCAAAGTTGCACCAGATTGGGCAATGATGTTTTAGAAATGTTCCTTTGAAAACAACAATAGCAACAACAACAACAACAACCCAAGATAACGAAAGCTAAGATTAGCAAGGGTTTGCACATGTGTGCCCAGATGTGAATGACATCACAGAGTGCTCCATGTGAAACAGTTTGTTTCCCCCCCACCCCACCCCAAAATACCTAATGCAAAAACCTTCCTCTTCATATTCAACCTTTGGCGGGAAGTGAATGCTGGGCACGTGATTCCGGCGGCAAGGAATGGAGATGGCTTGTGGAGGTGCCATTATAGATAAATAAATAACAGGATAACTGAACGCCAGCTGTCAAACCTCCTTCTCTAGAAAGGAGTGAGACAGCTCCTTTGGAAGGAGAGAGAGAGAGAGAGAAAGAGAGAGAGAGAGAGAGAGAGAGGTGGGGAGGGCAACCAATGAATAATATATGATGACCGAGATGGGAAAGGAGGCTTGAAAAGACCTTCGTGTGGGTATATGCCTGCCTGCCTGCCTGCCTATTATAATCCTTAGTTTCTCTCTCTTGTTCATATTCCTTTGTATCTATGTAGCTATGTATGTGTGCATCATCCTCCCTATGTAGTCTCTCTCTCTCTCTCTCTCTCTCTCTCTCTCTCTCTCTCTTTCTCTCTCTCTCTCACACACACGCACACATTCATTTGTATCATCTATCTATCATCTATCTATCTATCTATCTATCTATCTATCATCTATCTATCTACCATCTATCATCTATCTATCATCTATCATTTGTTTCTCTCTCATATTATCCATCCATCCATCCATCATAATAGTTTCTCATATTTCTTAGTACCTACCTACCTACCTACCTACCTACCTACCTATTCCTTTATTTCTCTCTTGCTCTCTTATATTCTCTATCTATCTATCTATCTATCTATCTATCTATCTATCATCTATCATCTATCTATCTATCTATCTATCTATCTATCTATCTATCTATCTATATCTATCATCTCCTTCCTTCCTTCCTTCCTTCCTTCCTTCCTTCCTTCCTTCCTTCCTTCCTTCCTCCCTCTCACTCCACACCACAAAGCACATCCCGTATCCTTCCTCCCCCCTCCCCAAAGCCCATGCCGCCTTGGCATTTTGTTAACGATTCTGCTTATTCTCTCACTTCTTGTTCTCTCTTTCTCCCTACCCTCTTTCCTCCTCCCCACTCTCTTTTCACATGATATGAGTGCACAGTGCCAACCGTTCCCAGGGAAAACACACACACGCACACACAGGCACGCACAGAGCCTTGCCACACAGCAAGTGAAGGAGAGAGGGAGGGAAGGAGGGAGCCTTTGAAGCCTCCAAAGGGTAAAGGCCGTTGCTGTGGCAACAGCATCCTGATTGGCGCAAGCATCCTGGGCCTTTGGTCCTCCTGGCTGTGTACTGAGTGATTAATGAGCCAGCGTTGAGTTGTGTGAGAAGCAGCAAAAGCTCAGGCTGGGGAGCTGGTTCCTCCACTGCAGGGGCTGTTTCTTTACAGACCTACTTTCTCTTTTTTCCGTTCTCTCTCTCTCCCCCCCTCCACATTTTTTGCTGTTATTTCACCCCTCCCACCATCATCATCCCTGCAGTCGAAAGTTCTCCCCCCCTCCTTCTTCACACCCTGCTGTTTTCCGTGGCTCCCAACACTATTACATTTTCCCTCCCATTCCTCTTCTCAAACTCTGTGCGCTCTCCCTCTCTGTCTCTTAAATCCCCAACTTGGATTGCTGAAATGCTTTCCCGGAGGGGGCTGGATTCTGGGGGACAGTTGCTTGGGAAAACGAGAAATAAGAAAAACAGAAAGATGGGGGAGAGAAAAGCCACTCAGCCAGGGGTTTTTGGGGTGGTGGGGGGCACACACACATAAACACCACACACCCCTTTCCAGCATGCTTGGCTTTCACTGCAGGCTCCAAAAGAAAGGCATTTAAAAGGGGGGGGGGGGAGCTGAAGTGTTGGCTCCTTCCATTGTCTGAGCTGATTTTTTGGGTGTGTGTGTTTATTTATTGTATTTCCATCGCACCTTGTCTTCAAAGGAGCTCAAGGTGCTACACAGTGTTCTTTGCTCTCCCGTCTTCATTTAATCCCCACAACAGCCCTGTGAGGTAGGTTAAGCTGAAAGAGGCAGTGGCAGTCTCCAGAGAGCTTCATGTGGCTGACTTGGGGCATTAGAAGCCTGGTCTTTTCCAGATCCCTAGTCCAGCACTCTTAACCACTTCGCCATCTGGAACTGTTGCAGCAGTTCCATGCACAGCCAGTGTTTGAAAGAAGATAAAAGTAATGTTTTAAGTGTAATGACCATGAGCTTGCTGCCCTGAAAATTAATAACCTGGAATGCAGTGAGCATGTGTGGAGCATGTGTAGACATGGAAGCTGAAATGTGTGCAGAGGAGGGCAACCCAGGTAATCAAGGGTCCAGAAGGCCTTATGAGGAACGGTTGAAGGAGTTGGGTATGTTTAGCCTGGAAAAGAGGAGACTGAGAGGAGATATGATAGCCATCTTAAAATATCTCAAGGGCTGTCACATGGAAGAGGAGGGAACAAGCTCTCCTGCTCTGGAGCATAGGACCCAAACCAATGGCTTCAAGTTACAAGAAAGGAGATATTGACTAAACACCAGGAAGAACTTTCTGTTGCTAAGAGCTGTTTGACGGTGGAACAGACTCCCAGGAAAGGTGGCTGACTCTCTTTCACTGGAGGTTTTTAAGCAGAGATTGGATGACAATCTGTCATGAATGTTTTAGTTGAGATTTCTGTATTTCAGGGGGTTGGACTAGATTACCCTCAGGGTCTATACATTTAAAGTATTATTATTATTATTATTATTATTATTATTATTATTATTCCAAATAAGGCTATTTACTAAACATTTAAAGCACATTAATTAATTAGTTCAAGAGAAGTCCCCCAGGATTCCTCCTAACTCTACCATTCTGCAATTCTACGATTCTGTGTTGGATAGACACTATTATCTCTGCATTGCATTGTCTTTGCACACATTCAGTCATTGGTGGAGGGGGCTCTCAGCTCCTGCAGTGCCTCTAACAACACTGAAGTGTTGCTCTGCCTTTTTTATGTATTTAAATTTCTTTTGGAAAAATTGTGAACTGTTTCCTCAACCCACATCAAAAAAAATTCTTCAAGTCCAACGATTGTATATGCAAAACATGCAACCCAATTTAAATGTAAGAACATAAGAAGAAGAACCGGTGCTGGATCAGGCGAATGCCTCATCTAGCCCTAAAAACACAAGAAGAGCTTGGCTGGATCAGGCCAAGGGACCATCTAGTCTTACAAATGGGAAAAGAGCTCTGCTGGATCAGGTCAATGGCTCATGTACTCAGGTCAATGGCATCCTGTTCTAAGAGCAGGAACCCAGGTGCCTCAACAGGAAGTCTTGAAGCAGAACCTGAGCACAACAGAAGCACTCTCCAGCAACTGGTTTGCAGAAACTGGTATTCAGAAACATTACTGCCTCCAGTTGTGGAGGTAAAGCCATGTCATCATAGCCAGAGCAATTGACAGCCTACATATTTTTATGAGCTTGAGCCAGATTTCACCATCAGACTTTACTTCCTAGTTCTTTTCATTTGCTGCCCAGCATATTTAAGCATTGAACTACCAGATTTCTTTCCTTGTTTTATTTTTACAAAAAATGATCTGATTATAATTAATTACAATTATAATTTATAATTGCAATTAAGATTAATTACAGCTACATTTTAGAATGCAAACTACAATGACAAATAAGATATGGGCAAGAAACAGTGTTGAGGGAGATAATTAAGCAGCAGGAATATACATATATTTCCACATCACATTTATACTTAATAGGCCCTCCAACCTTTACAACAAGGTCTGGAGAACCTGTGGCCCTCCAAATATTGTGGAGTTCCATCTCCCACCAACCTCAGCCTACATGGCCAGTGGTCAGGGTTGATAGGAGTTTTAGTCCAGCAATTTTAGGAGAGCTACAGGTTCCCCATCCCTGCTTTACAACAAATTGGAATTCAAGGCGTCAGTGGCAGGGAGAATTAATTATTCCAGATGACCAAGTAAATCTGTTGAAGGAAAAAATATATAATTTGGTATGTTGTCTGCATGCACTGGTTTAGACATGTTATCTTTAGTGTCATGGAAGTTGACTCGAACACATATCTATGACCTAAAGCACTGCATTTCAGAATGTCTGTCTTCACCCTTACAATGGGTTGTATCCAATGCTAGTGCTACTCAGAGTAGACCCACTAAAATAATAAACATGACTAATTTAGCTCTATTAATTTCAGTATACTCTGAGTATACAGTACTTTAGTTGCATTTAACCCAATGTTACTTCTGTCTTCATCCCTTACAATGTTACCTTTGTCTTATTGCTAACATTCCTTCTTAGCTCACTGCTCACCTGCCCTGGGGAAAATTCACCTGCATAACTGTTACATAACAGACTGAGCTTTGTTGCCCTAAATCCTTTAACTAGCAAAGCCAATCTCAGTGTTCTGTCTTGCTTGCCAGCCCAGTAAAGGAGATTAAGTCTAGGGATTTCGGCAGATTCCAGTATGAATGGACCTGATCCAAAATCTCTGGACAAATTTGCAGGCTGGAACTTAGCTATCTTTCTGGATTTCCTCCCCCCTGAGTGTTCTGACATAGTTTGCGGGTCAAAAGACATACAGTGGTACTTCCGGTTATGAATGTAATTCGTTCTGGAGGTCCGTTCTTAAGCCGAAACCGTTCTTAACATGAAGCATGTTTTCACTAATGGGGCCTCCCACTGCTGCTGCGCCACCGGCGCACGACTTCCACTTGCATCCCAGGGCAAAGTTTGCAACTAGGGGTATCTACTTCCGGGTTAATGGAGCTCGTTACCCGAAGCATTCGTAAGGAGGACGGTATGTAACCCGAGTTTCCACTGTAGTGGAATACATTTTTAAAGCTGTGTATTTGAAGAGAAAATAAAGGCTCTGGTGGGTTTTTGATTGCAGATAGCTAAAAGGACCCCCCCTCCAATGCAACCTAGGCCTTTAGTTGTTATTGGTTTATTTATTTTTTTAAAATAATATTTATTATTTTTCCAAAAACTTAAACACTAAAAAGAAAAACAATACAATACAACACATCAAATTAACAAAACAAGACAAAGACAATAAGATAAATCAAACAATTTCATTATCCCATCTTTCATTCACTTATTTCCACGACCTCCTCACACCTTCGTTTTTGTATTCCACTTCTGTTAATTATTTCAGCAATTCCTTTCCATCTTCCTCTGTTTTCTATCCTATAATTATCTTAACTCATTCTAACCTTATTTTTTCCTTTACTGCTCTATTAACCTTTCTGTACTTAATTCCTTATAATATTTCTACTAAAGCCATATAACTTCATTCCAACATTTTTCTAGCATTCATTAATTTTACAATATTTCTGCAAATAGTCTTTAAACTTTTTCCAATCTTCTTCCACCAACTCTTCTCCCTGGTCTCGGATTCTGCCAGTCATTTCCGCCAGTTCCATGTAGTCCATCAGCTTCATCTGCCATTCTTCCCGGGTGGGCAAATCTTGTGTCTTCCAATACTTCGCGATGAGTATTCTTGCTGCTGTTGTTGCATACATAAAAAAAGTTCTATCCTTCTTTAACACCAATTGGCCGACCTTGCCCAGGAGCTGTTATTGGTTTAGATGGGCATACCTGCCACACTGGATCCATGCGCCTTGCTGTTGCTTATGTTTTAAAATTTTATTTCCTCCATTGAACTTAGGTTTCATTATGCATAATGTTTATTGCATTGTACCCTGTGCCAGGCATATTTTTCTAAACTGAACGTGTTAGCAATCATCTCAATAAACAAACAAACAAACAAAATAATTAATAAAAATGATGGGCCGCATTCAGTGTTAGCTCCATTGAGAGTTGACCTGTTGAAATGGGTGGACATGGGTAACTGGTTCATTGGGTGGCGTCCAATTTACAGCATTCCAGCAGCACAAGGCTTTCTGTTTGGGCAGCTAGATGACCATTATGGGAAACCCACAAGCAGGATCTGTGCATGAGAGCCCTTTCCCCTCCTGCTGTTTCCAACAACTGATATTCAGAAACACTGTTGCCTCCAACTGTGAGTGCCAGTAGCCAGCAACCATTGATAGCCTGCCCCTACATGAATTTGCCTTCTCCTCCTTTAGATAAAGGTAAAGGGACCTCTGACCATTAGGTCCAGTTGCGAACGACTCTGGGGTTGCAGCGCTCATCTTGCTTTATTGGCCGAGGGAGCCGGCGTACAGCTTCCGGGTCATGTGGCCAGCATAACTAAGCTGCTTCTGGTGAACCAGAGCAGTGCATGGAAACACTGTTTACCTTCCCGCCGGAGCGGTACCTATTTATCTACTTGCACTTTGACGTGCTTTCGAACTGCTAGGTTGGCAGGAGCAGGGACCGAGCAACAGGAGCTCACCCCGTCGCGGGGATTCGAACCGCCGACCTTCTGACCGGCAAGTCCTAGGCTCTGTGGTTTAACCCACAGTGCCACCCGCGTCCCTCTCCTCCATTAAAACAATCCAAATTGATGGCCATCTCAACATACTATGCTAACATATTCCACAGTTTAACCATATGCTGCTTGTAGAAATGCTTCGTTTCATCTGTCCTGAATCCTTAAACATCCAGTTTCATTGGATGCCCATGAGTCAGGAGACAGGGAGAAAAAATTGCCTTTGTCCACTATCTTCACAGCATGTAGCATTTTATTCACTGCTATCATGTTGTCTCTTAGTTGCCTTTTATCGGTTTGCTGGTTGGTTGGCATCCATCTGTCTCAGGAGACAATGGAAGAGTGAAGTCAAATCGTTGGAGAGTTACAGCGCCTGTTGTGGCTGTAGAGACTGATAGGGAAGAGACATGTTTTGTTGCAGCTGGGGCAGATGAATGCGTCTGGTTGTGCTGCTGCAGATGCACCAAGGCGTTTCTTCTGCCTACACTCCTCCCAGTGGTCATTCCTCGTCTGGTCACTGCCACTGATGCATGACCTGACTGTCTGTCTCCAGGCACTGTGGTTGTCTGTAAGGGATAATCCACATGGCAGGGTTGATGTTGTCAGCCTTCATGTCACATTTGCAGACATCTTTGTAACACAGAGTTGGCCTGCCAATGGGCCTGGTGCCTGAAGCCAGCTCCCCACAGAGGGTGTCCTTGGGGATCCTGCCATCTTCCATTCTGTGGACATGACCAAGCTGGCGCAGACGTCGCTGAATGAATGAAAAAGCCCCTAATGCTGTAATCATTTTATCATCACTATGCCTGTGTGGATTGGTATTGTTGAGTGCAGGGAAGGTATGGAGGAGATGGAAGGTGTAGAGAGCTGCAGCAAACTGGGTGTGCATAGCATTTTAAGGAGCCCTATCTCAGTGGTAGAGCACCTGCTTTGCATGCAAAATGCCCCAGGTTCAGCCCTTAGCATTGTCAGTTAGGACTGGGAGAGATCCCTGCCTCAAATCCTGGAGAGCCACTGCTGCCAGTCAGTGGAGATGATATCCAGCTAGATCGACTTTGTCTCCAGGTTTGATTTCTCATGTACAATATAGAGAAATACAAAACAAATCAATGTGGGAGGTCCAGTTATTTGGTTCAGCTTCAGAAACAAGGGCAAGTTACTTAGGAACCCCCAAATCCAGAAGGAAATCTGGATGAGAATTTCAGAAAGGGCCCCCATTGCTCTTTACCTGTGTCCTAAGGGTCATCTAGTCCAACCCGCTACAATGCAGGAATCAAAGCTAAAACATCCCTGACAGGTGACTATTCAACCTCTGGTTTTTGCTTAAAAACCACCAGTGAAGGAGAGTGTGGCTTCCAGCAACTGGTATTTGAAGCAGTTGTTGTGGCTAATAACCATTGAGAATCTTATCCTCCTCCATGAATTCATCCAGTCCTCTTCCGAAGGCTTGTAGGTTGCTGGCCATGACTGCCTCCTGTGTAAGTGAGTCCCACAGTTTAACAATGCACTGTGTGAATAAGTATTTCTCTCTCTCTCTCTCTACTCTCCATGTCATCTTTTCTCCCAACAAATGTACTTAAAAAGAAAAATCTCATCCCCTCTGCTGATTCCCTCTCTCCCCCTTGGAACATCCAAGGCGGTGAAGGCATAGGCCTGCCCCTGAAGCAGATGTGCCGATGAGGAAAGGCAATAATTTATAATACACGGTGTTCTCTTTTAAGCCGTGGCAAATGCTGAGCTGCAGCTCTTTGGCTCCTTTGAAGTTTGGAGCTGTAATCTGGGGGAACCGTCTCGCTCTCTCCCTGCCTGGCTAGAATTCCCCCTCTTGGAAAGGCTCAGATGTCACAGAGACAGAACGCCTGGTGGAGGCTTCATCTCCACATAGCGTTTCTCTAGGGATGTAGGGAGAGCAGTGAGATTCGTAGTCAGCCATGGAGACCATCCTTTGATGCTAGAAGCCAACAGCCAAGGACTTGACTGGCTCTTTCAAATCATTATTGGAACTTGATGGGCCCTTTTGGGTCCCATTCAGCAGGTCTCTTCTTATGTTTATCTGTAACCCACCTTGAACTAGGTGTACTCAGAGATGCAGTACTCCAGAGTTATGGAGTGTGTGTGCATGTCCCATTATTATTTCAGCAGCAGGGCCCCTGTCTCCACTGTCAAAAGAGCCCACCCAATCAGCCCGAAAGGGGAGCTTTGTAGCCACTGAGGTCTTCTCACTTTGTACTGATTGGAGCCAATAAGACTGAAAGATAATGTCTCAGCCACTGAGGATGGTCTCCCAGGGTCCTTCTGGAGAAGGGGCACAGGAAGGCATCAAGATTTTGTTATTCTGTCTGCTCCAAAGTTAAACCCTTAGAAACGCCGGCAGCACAATGGGATTCAGTTTCAAGAGAATGGGGTGCAAATTCTGTTATGTCCAATGGAACATCAAAGAAAACCCAACCCAAGTCACTCAGAATGAAGATATTGGAGCACTCCAGATCATTGCACAAAAAAATAATAGATCTAGCTGAAGCCTTTCAGGGAGATCTGTACTGATCATTGCAATGCATCGCTATTTATTATTTTTGTTATTATTGTATAATTATAAGATTATTGTATAATCTTAGAATCCTGGAATCAGAATTGTAGAGCTGGAAAGGAACCAAAGAGTCCTCTATTCCAACTCCCTGCAATGCAGGAATCACAGCTAAAGAATCCCTACCATAGGGCCACCCAACCTCTGCTTAAAAACCTCCAGTGAAGGAGAGTCCACCACCTTCTGGAGTCCTTTTCACTGTCAAACAACTCTTATTGTCAGAATGTTCTTTCTAAGGTTTAGTTGGAATCTCCTCTCTTGTCATTTGAATCTATTGGTATGTTTCCTACCCTATGGAGCAGCAGAAAACAAGCCTGCTCCACCTTCCATCTTAGAAGGCTGCAGAATTGTGGAAGGGGGCATGGTTGTGAGTGGCTGTAGCTGTGAGCAGAGATGGCTATGACACTCAAGGGACCCTCCACTTGCCAGTACCCTACCGAATATACTTCTGCACATCCTCCTATCTAGCTTGCCTTTCTGGACCAGGATCCACAATGGACCAGCCATCCGCTCATGCCCATTCCATGTTCTCCTCTCTTGCGGGGAGCATCTTGAACGAGGGGCTCCATTGATCACCTGTGCTTCACTTTCTGTATTACAAGCTTTTTGGGCTCTCAGGACACCAGGGATACTAGACCTTAGTATAGTAGGTATAGGAGGATCTGGCCTCCCAGCCAATTTTTAATGCCACCACACAACAGCCCTCTGACAAATGCAGTTTGATTCATTAGAGGCCTTAGTTTAGTTGAATTAATTATGGACATTTATTTAATGGAGTTAATTATAGGTATTAATTAGAACTTCAGTTTAAATTCAACTCAGATTCATAAGGATTGTTTTTATTTAAAAATAGGAAAAGGTTTGTGTGTGAAGGGGGTGGCTCTCCCCCCCCCCCACACTTTGCCCCTACTCACTTTGGTATGTGGCCCCTAGAAGGTTTACAATGAGGACATGTAGCTCTTGGACTAAAATAACCCTGCCTTTGTGAAAAGGGTGCCCTCAAGGCTGCAGGTTCTAGCCTGAAGAGAGTCAGCTGACTTTTGAGTGTTCATATTGAGGTCATCTGACTCTCCAAGCCAATCAGGAAACACCATGCCTTATAAAGCCTGTTTTATAAAATCAGGCCCAACTTTGGATCCAGTTTATACTGTTGAAGGAAGCGATGGTTTTGTCTTTTCTGTCAGACCACTGCCCCCTTCATGCAACATTATGAGGTAAGAACTGTGCTTCCTTCAACACTAAGTGAGCCGAAATTCTGGTGCCATATAGCACTAAATGTTCAGTGGTTTATAAATGCTTTGAAATAAAACTGAGTCTTTTTCCCTCTCAGAAAACAGTTTATTTTATTTAAAAGCATTTATAAACCACTGAACATTTAAAGATCTCTAAGTGATAATACAGCATCAAAATGATAAACAATAGCATGACATCCAAAATATGACATAGAATCAGTTAAACAGAAGTATAAAAACATACAAACAAATAATAACAGGGAAATCAATAATAAAAAACCAGGATAGGTCAGGGCGCCAAAACAACAACAACAACAACAACAAAACAACAACACCCTGACTTTAATGACCTTTATTGGATCTGTGATGGCATAATAAGATTGGTATGGTTGGCATTGTTTATACTGACCAGCATTTTAATCATACTCATGGAGCTGTAGAGTTGGAAGGGACACAAAGGGTCATGTAGTTCAACCCCCTGAAATGCAGGAATGCTTGACAGATGGTCTCCAATGAAGCAGTGTCTACCCCGGTCCAAGGAAGCTCGTTCCACTGTCAGATAGCTAAATAACTAGGATGATGTAGTTAGTCATCTATTTAACAAATTTGTATACTGCTTATCTGTAAGTAAAACTTTTAAGTATAAGTTCCTGTTTTTTTTTAAATAAAATATACATTAAACATCTATCCCCCCAAAACTATAGTAAAATACAAGTTTGATTTTATTTAAAAATCAAATTCAAATCAGAAGATAAAGCTAAAACTACAGATTTGTCAACTTTTGGAAGGTTCGTACAAGCAAAAAATGTTTTCAGCAGGTGCCAAAAGAACTCAAGCGAAGGTACCTGCCTGATGTCAATTGTCAGGGAGTTCCAGAGTGTTAGCGCTGCCGCGCTAAAATATCTCTCTTCCTTCTTCATGCAACACATAGTTAATCAATGGAACTCACTCCTACAAGAGACAGTGATGGCCACCAGTCTAGAAGGCTTTAAAGAGGACTGGACAAATTCATAGAGAAGAAGGCAATCAATGGCTACTTGCCAATATGGCTGTGCTCTGCCTCCATGGTCAGAGGCTGTAATGCTGTTGCTGGAAACCACAGAAGGAGAGAGGACTCTTGCACCTGGTTCCTGCTTGTTGGTTTCCTATTGGGGTGACTGGTTGGCCACTGTGAGAACAGGATGCTGGACTAGAACCATGGTGTGATCCAACAACCTTTTCTTAAAAATCCACAAATGTACTGATATTTTTTTTAAATGGCTGCATGACAATCAGTTGTGCAAAAATGTAACCTCAATGTTTCTTCTTTGGTGTATATTGTTTGGAATATTGCTCTTCTAGAAAAATTAGCATGGCGTGTAAGAGATTTGCACCACTGCATAGCAATCACAATCGGCTTTGCCGCCTGCTTCATTGGATGTTTTGGATATGTGTTTCTTATTTTGCAAATATTTTGGGGACACAATTATTTATCTGGGGTTGGTTGGCACCTGTGACAAATACGAATGCTGTGCAATATGGTTATGACCTGTGTCAGTGTACCTGGCTGTTAACCAGAAGGTTGGTGGTTCAGATCTTCTCCTGCTGGGACTTATGGATATACAACTAGAAAAAGAATATGGAATATTACTGCAATATACGATCACGGTGGCGAGAGTGTTATATGCACAAAGATGGAAGGACTTATTATTACCTAATATGGAAGAATGGTTATTGAAATTAATGGATTTGGCTGAGATGGCAAAGCTGATGTGGTTAATAATAGAAAAATCATTGTTGACATTTATTAATGATTAGAAACCCCTTATGGACTTTTTGAGCAATAAGGAAAATAAGCTTGTGATATCTGGGTTCAAAGACCGGAAAAACGGCCAGTTTATGGACATTAGAAGAGCTGGGTATTATTATGAGGTAAGAATTTTGTTTTAAGTTTTTAAAGCTGATAGAGATGGCGAATCAGAAGTTTTTTCTTTTTCTTTTCTCTTCTTTATTTCGTTTCAATATTTATGTTAAAAAAAGATGCTTGATATTTGATGTTGTTTTCTGTATATATTTGTTTGTTTATTTTCAAGCTTTAATAAAAATCACTTAAATAGAAGGTTGTGCTTCAAGCCCACCCACAGACAGTTGTGGGCTGGATTCCTGCCCTGCAGGGGGTTGGATTAGATGACCCTTCAGATCCCTTCCAACTCTACAATCCTATGTTTCCATGACCTCCACTCTTTTTGTTATATTCCTAGACTCAGTAATGGTATAGTGGTTAGAGTGTCAGACTAGGATCTGGGAGAACAGGGTTATAATCCTCACTCAGCCATGAAACTGGGTGACTTTGCGCCAGTTCCTCTCTCTTAGCCTAGCCTACCTCAAAGGGTTGTTGTGGGGATTAAGTGGATGAGAACCACATAAGCCAAATGTGAGCTCCATAGAAAAATAGGTGGGATAGAAATGCAGTAAATAACACACACACACACACACACACACACACACACGTGTGTGTGTGTTTGTGTTTATTTATTTTACTTTGAGGATATTTATCATCTATCTATCTATCTATCTATCTATCTATCTATCTATCTATATCTATACCTATTAATCAATCACTTTTCTTAAGTTTTGGCTTACTTGCATATCAATAAAAATTATTTTGTAATAAACAAACAAACAAATGCATTTTAATGCACATTTTACCATACTATAAGCATTATTGTGCACATTGCTTGCAAAATCAGGAGATCTGTGAATTGTAAAGGATCCGTGTGTTGGTAGGTTCTCCTTTAAATGTGAACTGAATTGGGTTTTTCCTCCATCCCCCCTCCTGCGTAAGCATCCACAGGCTTGCAGCCTGACTCAAACAACAAGCCAACTTCGGATTTCTTTAATCGGGTGACAGCACCTCCTCTAATCACAGTCCTTTAACAATTAGCCCTGGCATGGCCCTGGCATGTAATGGAGGTAGGGGCAAGAGGGCAATGCAAAGATGGCCAGGGGGCTCATTTTCACCTGCCCCTAACAGATGATCAGTGCTCTGACAGCCTCCTTTCCAGTCTGTAGCCTGAGGCTGTGAGATCCTGGTGCTTATGAAGGGTCAGGTGGGATCCTTGCAGAGTTATCAAAAGGGTACCTGGTTCTCTGCTATTTCAGCAGGGGTGGAAGGGGCTGCTCCCCACTGACACAGCCTGGCTCAACTGCACCATCAATCTAAGTGGTTGCTTGGGGATGTCGTATTTTGTAGGCTAGTGGGGGGGGGATGCGTGAAGGGGAGGTGGCCAGTAAAAAGCAGCAAGCAAGATGAGAGCTGATCACCAGCATCTTCTGCAGCACAGGAAGGACAGAAAACGGCCTTCTGCTGAGTCATTTGGTCCCTCTATCTCAGTATTGTCTACACTGATGGTCAATGGCACTCCAAAGTTTAAGGCCTTTTCCCCAGCCCTATTTGGAAGTGCCAGGTATTGAGAATTAGATCTTCTGCATGAACAGCATGTTCTCAACCACTGAGGTATGCACCTTCATTCTCATAGCTCCAAATAAAGTTCCTTTGAATGAAGACAGATTGTTGGTCCACCTAGGTCAGTACTGTCGACACTGACTGGCAGTGGTCTCTCTCAGTCCTATCTGGAGACTGAAGGAGTGACAATCAACATGCAAAGCATCTCAGTAACCCTAAGACATGGCCTTTCTTCTAAAAAGAAAATAAGGCTCTAGTCCTAATAGTTTTGAATGGTTGGCATCTGTCTGTCTTGGGAGACAATGGAGGAGTGTGCCTTTGGAAGGTTTCAGTGCCTGATGTGGCTGTAGAGACCAATACAGGAGAGTACAGTAATGTTTTCTTGCATCTGGGGCAGATGGAGGTGTCCAGTTGTGCTGCTGCACATGCACTATGGCGTGTCTTCTCTTTGCACTCTTCTCAGTTGTCATTCATTCTCTGATCACTGCTGTGGATGCACTGCGATCGTCTGCAAGGGATATCCACATGGTAGGGTTGATGTTGTTGACTAAATGGATCAGTTAAACAGGACCACAGGAAGCTGCAATATACTGAGTAATACTATTGGTCCATCCAGTTCAGTACTGTCTGCACTGACCGGCATTACTACTACTACAGTAAGTCAGGGTGTAATTTTCTTTTACCATCTTCTTTCAGGCTTGGGGCACATTGAACCATCTGTGACCAGATTGTGCCTCACTCATATTTTGATTTTTAATTGTATTGTTTGGATATTTGGAGGTTTGCTGCCATCAGTTCCTTTGGAAAGAAGGCAGGGTAGAAATTTCATGAATGAATGAATAAAACACCTTCTGTGTCAAACCAGGAGTTTCAACTCTTTCTGCTGCTTCTACAGCAGACGCTCTGTGAACAGGAGGCACTGCTGGTCTCCTCCTACTGCTAGGGAGGAAATGGCAGAGACTGCCCTCTGGGGTTTCCTGGGCTCTGCACCTACTGGGAATGATTCAGAGCAGGCCTGTTTCCCACCCATGACAGCCTTTGATCCCCACTTTAATCATTGGGTAAAGTTGATTTGATTCCCTCCCCCATTCCTCATGGAGATCTTCACTCTTAGGATGCACATGGCACATTGTGGTTTGTCTCAGGTGCCAAAATGTATTGGGCATGTCCTGGTGTTAACATTAAAATTCATGGAAATCCAATGAAGTTGAATTTTAGAATGTTCAGGACAGACAATAGAATGACCTTCTTCATGCAGTGCAGTTAAGCAATGGAACTTGCTCCCTCAGGAGGCTGTGAAGGCCACAAACCTGGACGGCGTTAGACAAATTCATGGAGGAGAGGAATATCGACGGCTCTATTTGTTTGTTTATTTCATAAAATTTATATGCTCCTAGATTGTAAAAACGAAACAAAACCTCAAAACAATTAACAAAGAGAATAAAACAATAACATTCTAAACATCTGGATAGGCTTATTATACAAAAATATTTTTAGCAGGTGCCGAAAAGAGTACAGTGAAGGTGCTTGCTTGATGTCAATAGGTAGGGAGTTTCAGGGTGTAGGTGCTGTCACACTAAAATATATATTTCTTAAAAATGTGGGTGTTATGTGGCACCTGTATAACAGGGTCAGTTCCACAGATCAGTGTGGTTTAGTCGGTGTATAAGGGGTAAGGCAGTCTTGCGAGTAAGCTGGCTTCAAGCTGTTAAGGGCTATGCTCTGCCTCTGCAGTTGGAGGCAGCAATGCTTCTGAATGCTAATTGCTGAAAACCATAAGAGGAGAGACGGCTTATGTACTTGAATCCTGCTTGCTGATTTCTGATTGGAGCATCTGTTTGGCCACAACTGGATGCTGGGCTAGAAGGACCTCACCCAGCAGTCTCTTATGTTCTTATGCACAATGTTTCTCTTTCAAATGCTCAGAAAGTGCGGGCTGTGCTTGTGTCGTGAGCTCTGCTTGCGAAGCCTGGGTCCGGGGGTCCTTGGAAATTGAGATTTATTTTTAGCTGTTGTCTGCACAGCCTGAGCTATAAAAAGTCAGAGTGTGACAGCTGACACCCTGGCCAACTTGCCAGGGTCAGACTGGGGCCTGTAGATATTACTCTGGAGAGCTGGTGCCAGGCGCCAACATTAGCAGCACATTTCCGCTCTATCTCAGGACATTGTGTGTCCAAAGGAAGATTAAATCTGCCTCTCTGTCAGCAGGTGGAATCAAAGCCAGTTCCAGGTATTTTTGAGAGCTGATGGCATTGATAGTGCTACTGGACCCCCATTGGGGTGAGTGCACCCAGCTCCTCCTGATGGGTGCAGCTCAGTGGCAGAGCCTCTGGTTTGCATGCAGAAGGCGCCAGCTTCAATCTCCAATGGTATCTCCAGGTAGGGCTGGGAATTCCCCTACCTGAAATCCTGGAGAGTTGCTGCTGCAAGTCAGTGTAGATAGTACTGAACCAGATGGACCAATGTGAAGAACATAAAAGAGCCCTGCTGGATCGGGGGAAAGGAGGCCCATCTAGTCCAGCATTCTGTTCTCATGGTGACGCGCCAGGTGTGCATCATAGGAAACCCACAAGCAGGTACGAGTGAAAGAGCACTCTCCCCTCCTGAGGTTTCAGAAGCATGACTATCTGCAGCTGTGTACCATAAGGTCTAGAATCTTACTTTATTTTTATTTTGGAGGACATAGCTCCATGGTAAGCATCTGTTTTGCATGCAGAAGGTCCCAGATTCAATATCCAATGGCATCTCCAAGCAGGGCTGAGGGAAGACTCCCTGCTTATAACCCTGGAGAGCGCCTGCCAATCAGTGCAGACAATACTGAGCTAGATGGACCAATGGTCTGACTTGGTATTAGGCAGCCTTCTATATTCATCTGATTCCTAATATACTGGTTTGGGGATAGTGATGGTGCTTGGGCTAGATGTTCCCAGCAGACCTTCAGTATGGAGGGCACCCAAATTCTCCTCTTCTTTGCCTTTGCCAGATCCCTTTCTCCCCACCCCCACCCCACCCCTTGGGTCAATCTTGACAGGTGGATGGGACTGCTCACTTGTCAATCACCTAACATAAGAACATAAAAAGAGTCCGGCTGCTGGATCAGGCCAATGACCATCTAGTCCAGCATCCTGTTCCTCTTACAATGGCTGACCGGATGCCTATTATGGGAAGCCCACAAACAGGACCTGAGCACAACAGCAGTGATCAGCCCTCCTGTAGTTTCCAGCAACCTGTATTCAGAAGCATTACTGCCTCTGACTATGAAGGCAGAGCATAGCCATCATGGCTAGTAGCCATTGGCAACCCTTTTCTTCTCTACGAATATGTCCAATTCTCTTTTAAAGCCATCCAAATTAGTGACTATCACTGCCTCCTTTGGGAGTGAGTTCCATAGTTTAATTATGTACTGTGTGAAGAAGTACTTTCTATTATCTGTCCTGACTTTTCCAACATTCAGCGTCTTTGGACATCCATGAGTTCCAGTGTTATGATAAGAGAGGGAGAAAACCCCTTTTTCTATCCACTTTCACCATGCCCTGCATCTATCTATCATCTATCTATCTATCTATCTATCTATCTATCTATCTATCTTATTTCACGCACACCATACATTTAAAGCACTACAATACCACTTTAAACATTCATGGCTTTCTTGCCTGTGTGGGAGGAAGGACAGGAGGAAAAATTAATAATCAGCAACACCAATAAAAAACCCTAAAATTATCACCATTTAGCCAACTAAATGGCTATACAAGTTTGAAACTGACCAGTTGAAGACAGCCCAACCCAGTGGCAGCGTCTTCTCTCAACCCAGTCATCCTTGCCTTCTTTCTTTTTCTTCACCCCCACCTGACTTTTCCTCCTTCTCCCCTCCCCTTCTCCCCTTCCCCCTCCTCTCTCTTCTGTGGGGCATTGATTTTTCCATCCGTCAGCGAAACACCGAAGGAAAATAAAAGAGCCTCTTTGCCATCGATCCATGGAACTCTGCAGCCTCAGGTCAGGAAGGGTTTGGATCTCACACTCCCCTGGCATATAATTACCCCCAGACTCCCATGAACAAGGCTCTTTAGGAAACCCTGCAGGGACCCGCATTTCCAGCAAGTTCCAGGGGTCCCGTGTGTGCCCCCGGGAGGCCTAATCTACAGTGGGAGCTTATTTCTTTCAGTGTGTTGCAGAGCCTCTCATGAAAGCGTGTTGACAGGTGGGAGTGTTTCTGAATGCACACTGCAGATGCTAGTGGTGGGTGCATCATGCACAGTGTCTCTGGCTGTTCCGCTGCAAATATGTCACTGTTCTTGGTAAGGCTCTGTTAGTCCTGAGTTTCTGCCGCAGTACGCTTGAAATCACACTGTAGCTGTAATCTTACCCACATCTAGTCCTAAGTAAACATTAGAATGTAAGAAAAGCATGGCTCTTGGATGAGGCCAAAGAGTTCATCAAGTCCAGTATCCTGCTCTCATAGTGTCCAACAAGATGTTCATTATGTGAAGCCCACAAGCAGGACCTGAGTGCAACTCTCCACTCTTGGGTTTCCCAACAACTGGTATTCAGAGGTAGACTGCTCCTGAGCATGGAGATTCTACTGTTGCCATAGACCTCCAGACAAACAGGCCTTGCTTCTGGATCAGGCCAAAGGGGGCCCATGTAGTTCAGCACTCTGGTCCCACAGGGGCCAAGCAGATGCCTGATATAGGAAGACCTGAGTGCAGCAGCAAGTCTCTCTACCTGTGATTCCCAGCTACTGGTATTCAGAGACATCCTGCCTCCAACAGTGGAGGGAGTCTGGCTGGCCACCATGAGAACTGGATACTGGACTAGATGGGTCCCCTTTGGCCTAATCCAGCAGGGCTCAATTTATGTTCTACCTCCACTGTTGGAGGCAGTATCCTTCTGAATACCAGTTGCTGGGAATTGCAAGTGGGGAGGGTGCACTCTGATCCTGCTTTGGGGCATCCCTTTTGGGCAACTGGTTGGACATTGTGAAGACTGGAGACTGTACTTGGTGAGCCTTTGGTGGCTTGATCTATCAGCCAGGTAATTTTTACATTTCCTGGGCTCCTGAGTGACCAGGTAAAATGTTCTTATGTCTGCTTTCCCCGGCCCAGTCAAGGTTTTTTGCAGCCTGTGTTTGCATGTGTGAGTCAGCCCAGAAGCATCCCGCAGCCAACCCCTGCCCTGGTCACACTTTTTCATGACTCGCATAGAGAGCAAAGTTTGCAGCTGCAGCAGCCTCCATATCTCGGAAAATCTGACTCACTCTCACAACAAGGGAAGGAGGCAGCCAGAGGCGAAAGCAGGGTGTGTGGAGGGAAGCCACGAACAGATGTCCTGACATGTCAAGAAAGGGAGGATGAAATGATGGTCTGGGGCAAGGGGAGGGCTCTTTTCCAAGTCTCCTTCCTGCCCCTGAAAGATCTTGTTTAGTTTAGAAAAGTTGAGGAAAAGTGGTGGAATAAAATGATGGTACAGTGGTACCTTGGATTAAGAACTTAATTCGTTCTGGAGGTCCGTTCTTAACCTGAAACTGTTCTTAACCTGAGGTACCACTTTAGCTAATGGGGCCTCCCACTGTTGCCACGCCACCGCTGCCTGATTTCTGTTCTCATCCTGAAGCAAAGTTCTTAACCCGAGGTACTACTTCCAGGTTAGCGGAGTCTGTAACCTGAAGCGTCTGTAACCTGAAGCGTCTGTAACCTGAAGCGTCTGTAACCTGAGGTACCACTGTATGGAGAAAAGTTTTCTCCTTCTCTCCTAGCACTCGAACTTGAAAACATCCAAAGAAGCAGGAGGCAGGAGAATTTCAATAGCTGTATTTGAAATGATCAGATGGGGATGGATCAACTACCCTATGAGGAAAGACTGCAGTGTTCAGGCCCATGAGCAAGGATTGAGGTCTCTGACTGAGGAAAATGTTTTCATCTCAAGGGACACATTCCCCCATAGGGAACTTTGCAAGGACCACATGCCAGGGCTAGGCAGGGCCAGATGCAACAATAGGCAGAGTAACGGATGCTGAATGCATGGCATGGCATGGGTTGGCTGAGGGCTGTATTCCCTTTTCTGCAACCTTCTAGGAGCCACATGCAAGTGGTGGGCAGGGCAGAGGAAAAAGTGGGTGGGTGGGGGAATGGGTGTAACTCCAGCTATGCAAAAGTCAGGTGTTTCTACTCTAGGGCTGGAGAACCTATTTCAGCCTGAGTGCTGCAATCCCATCTACACAGCCTTTGGGGGCCACACATGCCAGTAGTCGATGGAGCCAGGGGCAAAAGTGTAAGGAGCAATTAATGTAAATTTTGCTTTTGTACTAGTTTCTATACATGCCCCTCTGTCGCCTCCATCCAGGAAAACAAGAGACATGATCAAAGCTCATGGGCATGTTCCAGCTTGGCCATAAACACTCAAGGAGGGTGTGGAGCAGAAGTGGTGAGGGGTGTGGCCTGGGGACAGGGTGTGTGGCCTGGTAGAGTTCCAAGGGCCACATAGGGAGGGCTGGAGGGCCACATCTGGTCCCTGGGTCTCAGATTTCTCAGTGCTGCTGTAGGGCTGTTCCAATATATACTCCCCTATACTGTGGGAGTAGCAACAGACAGTTGCATTCAGCTGAGTCCTGCTCTGAGTTAATGGAGAGGTCTAAGATTGGTTCATTAATTTCAATAGGTCTGCTCTTAGTAGTATCCACTCAGAAATTCTCCTCTCGAATGCACTTGAGTGGCTCCATTTGTCTGTGCCGTTACCAGGTCTGCATCACGTGGGTGCATTATTGTTATTATTTTTGCAAAGGTAGGTTGGAGGAAGAACAGCACCTCTGAGCATGTGCAGAGTTTGTTTTGACCCCATCTGCGAGCAGCCAATTCCCAGGCATGAAGAGTTAGAAATTCTCAGCACTCTGCACTTTCTGGATGAAGTGTCTGGATTTGCATTTGTTTTGGTTTACCTTAATTGTAGATGGGAACCTTATAACGCTTCTCCCCTATAAACACACAGGCGTGCATTCTCCTGCAAATGAATCTAAAAAAGCGCTCCTTCCGAAGCTCTCTCCCCCCCCAAATCCAATGCTCCCTCCTCCTTGAAATTCGGCACACTAATAAAATTGTAATTCATTTGCATCCGAGATGGGGGGAAATGAGTGCCAGGGGTTGCCATGGCAACCGCCTCCTGAACACACTGCCTAGCTGCTGAGTGCCTAGCTGGAGATCAAGAGATTCAGAGAGAGTTCTTTGGGCTCAAAGCGTTCTCAGGGCCTATGCTGGCTCAGCCCTGCCTCCGTTCCTCCCAGAGCTGCCCTCTGGCATCCTTGTACATTGTTTGTGAGGCATGTGGCCAATTCAGAAACCCCAGTTTAGACACGAAGAGTGTGGAGGAGTCGACTCACGTATACAGAAGGGGGAAAAAAAAAGATGAGCTCATTATCCACCTCCTTAAGTCTCCACAATTCTTAATTGCCACTCTCGTGCTTTGGTTTCAAGCTCCTAGTCCTCACTGCCAGCTCACTGTGCTTCTCCCTCTTCTGAAGCTTCTGGCCCCTGGTATTGTTTCATGCTTTTCACTTCCCCAACTGGTGAGGTTCTTTGGCTGGGTGGTGGAGGAAGGAGGAATAATAAAAGGCAGAATGGGGAATCTTTTCCCATCCAAATCTATGATGCCACAGTCATGGCTTTCCCCAAAGAATTCTGGGAGATGTAGTACGCTGAGAGTTCTTAGGAGACTCCTATTCCCCTCACAGATTAACATTTCTCAGTATGGTTTAGCAATAATAGAATTGTAAAGTTGGCACAACCAAAGGTCATCTACTCCAACCATCTTCAATGCAGGTATCACAGCTAAAGAACTAATGTTTAGTCAGAATCTCTTTTCTTGTTACTTGCTGCCACTGGCTTGGATCCTACCATGCAGAGCAAGAAAAATCAAATTTGGCCCATCTTCCATATGACAACCCTTTAGATATTTGAAGATGGCCATCATATCTCATATCAGTCTCCTCTTTTCCAGGCTAAACAAACCCAGTTCCCTCAAGCGTTCCTCATGGTGCTTGGTTACCAGACCCCAAGAACTGGACACAGGACTCCAGGTGTGGTCTAACCAGGGCAGGATAGAGTGGTACCAGGACATCACTTGATCCGGACACTAGACTTTAGTTGACAGGACACAGGATTCCTCATATCTGTGCAGACCCCATCAAATTTACATTCATTGCTCCACCCATTTTTTTCATCTGGCCCGCCCACCAGCAGCATGTGCTTTGACCAGAACAACATGGCTGGATCCAACACCTGGATGTCAAGAGTCAGCTGCTTGTGGGACCCCCTTTTCATGTTACCTCAAGAGACCCCTGTCGTTTCACCCTGATTGGACACATGGTTCCTGTTCTGTATTTGTAAGAAATTGGTCATTTAGTGTGGCAGCACCTACACTTTGGAATTCCCTGCCTCTTGACATCAGGAAGGTGCCTTCACTGTACTCTTTTTGGTACCTGCTTAAAAGCAATTCTGATTAGACAATCCTGTCCAGACATGTAGAATGTTGGTGTATATCTTAATCTGTTTTTAGTTTATTGCTGATTTTATCTTTTGCATGTTTGGTTTTTTACCGATTCAGTGGTACCTCGGGTTAAGTACTTAATTCATTCTGGAGGTCCGTTCTTAACCTGAAACTGTTCTTAACCTGAAGCAACACTTTAGCTAATGGGGCCTCCCACTGTTGCCAAGCCGCCGCCATGCAATTTCTGTTCTCATCCTGAAGCAAAGTTCTTAACCCGAGGTACTATTTCTGGGTTAGCGGAGTCTGTAACCTGAAGCATATGTAACCTGAAGAGTATGTAACCCGAAGTACCACTGTAATTTCATTGTTTTATTCTTTTTGTAAACCGCTTTGAGGTTCTGTTTTTTACAATCATGTATAATTTTTATAAAATAAATAATGAAGCATCCCTTCATGGTTTTTGCAAGCTCCCTTCTCTCCCACCCCCCTCTTCCAGGCTTTTTTCCTTTCCTGAAGCTAACCATCTGGTTTCGCTGGGAAGAGCTGGGAATCCAAAGCCATCAGTTGCTGCAGAAAACAGCCACTCTGGCCTCCTGCTTTCCACACGTCAGTATTTTTAGCTTGGCTGTTCGCTGGCGTGTGGGAGCGCATACCAGGAAGCCGGGCTGAGCGTTTACCTGTTGCGACAGTGCTTCAGGCTGGAGTCATTTCCTCTCTCGCTCTCTTGCCGCCTGCACCCCCTACTCAGTTTTTTTATAACTTGCAACATGGTTCCCTCTGTACAGGGTGTACAAGACTGGTTGAGCAGAGAGGAGCTTTTGTTTGGCCATACCTTTCTCACACAAGAACACAGAAAGAGCCCTGTTGGGTCAGGCGAAAGGAGGCCCATCTAGTCCAGCATCCTGTTCTCTCAGTGGCCAACCAGGTGCCCCAATGGGAAACCCGCCAGCAGGACCTGAGCACAATAGTTGTTGCTTCCCAACAACTGGTATGCAGCGATAGACTGCATTTTAGCAGGGAGGCTCTATTCTTGGTTACAATGGCTAAGAAGAGCCCTGCAGAATCAGAGCAAAGGCCCATCTAATCCAACTCTCCCCTCCAGTGGATTATGGCAACTGGTATTCAGAAGTATGACTGCCTCCAAACAAGGAAGCAGAACATATGTAGCTATCATGGCTAGTAGTTATTGCAAGCCATGTCCTCCATGGATTTGTCCAATCCTCATTTAGAACCATCCAAGTTGATGGCCATCACTGCCTCCTGCAGGAGCAAGTTCCGTCGTTTCACTATGTGCTGTGTGAAAAAGAACTTTCTTTTGTCCATCTTGAATCTTTCAACCTTCATCTTTGTTGGATGTCCTCTGTTTTATGACAGAGGGAGAAAATCTTTTCTCTATCCACTTTCTTCAGACCATGCATAATTTTATAAAATTCTACCGTGTCACTTCTGAGGGCTTGGCCACACTTCACTTGTCCTTTGCCTAGAAAGCATGGGGTGGAGAGGTTTTCCACTTGTCTAGTGCTTTCTAGGCACGAGTTGAAGCAGTTTTCTGTTTGCCCCACCACTTTCCCTGGGAAATCTGCTCTTTACTGCTGAATTGGAGCAAACAGCAATCCATAGAATACATAACTGATGTTTGCTGCAATTCAGCAGTGGGGGGTTTCCCCAGGGCAAGCAGAAGTGTGGATGAGCCCTCATGTCAGGGAACTGCCATCAGTGGCAGGAAAGGGAAAGAGCAAAAGCCAGAGGGATTCCAGAGAGCGTCCAGGGATCGGGAGAAGCAGCCCATCTTCTGGGGAAGAGAATCAGCGTAGCACCAGTGGAGAAGGGGGGCAGATGGGGGAAGCGGCGAGGCGGTCCCATGACTCCTTGCCGGGGACCAGCGGGGAGAGTAGAGGTCCTCCGCTGCCTACGCCCTCCTTGCGCAGAAGGCTTTCGCGCAGAGGAGAGAGTAGGAGGAGACTAGGCATCAAAGAGCTTCTTTGCTGGAAGAAGTTTAAGAAACGCCCACTGACGGATTCTGCCAGCGATTGAGTCAACCACGGGTAAGTGGCTGTCCGGACAGAAAAGGTTCACTTAGGCAACCCAGCCACGTGTTTGCACCCAGCCGGGGAGATAAGCACCAGCTTACGCACGAGCAACCCCTAGAACCATTACACCTCACTTTTCTTTAAACTAAGAAGTCTTTAATGCTGCAAGCTTTCCTTATAGGGAAGTTGTTCCATCTCCTTGGTCAATTTGCTGGCCCTTTCCAACCTTACAATATCCTATTTGAAGTGAGGTGACCAGAACTGTACACAGTGTCCCAAATGCAGCCATACCATAGATTTATATAATGGCATTAATTCTATTTGCAGTTTTATTTTCATTTCCTTACATTTATTTTATTTTATTTTCAAATGTATTTTTATTTCAGATTTTCTTGGTTTACAAAAGTACAGTACATGCCTCATCTCTTTTTACAAGTTGTACAGTCTTTCTTACAAATCAGTTATCGTACATTTGTTGTGAGACGTTAGTGTTGAGTACAGTGGTACCTCAGGTTACATACGCTTCAGGTTACGGACTCCGCTAATCCAGAAATATTACCTCGGGTTAAGTACTTTGCTTCAGGATGAGAACAGAAATTGTGCTCCGGGGGCGCGGAAGCAGCAGGAGGCCTCATTAGCTAAAGTGGTGCTTCAGGTTAAGAACAGTTTCAGGTTAAGTACGGGCCTCCGGAACGAATTAAGTACTTAACCTGAGGTACCACTGTACTGTATAAGCTTGGGGAAGAAGAGGGGGGAGAGGAGGGGTGGGGTGGTGAGGCTTATATTATTTTGTATAGTGTACATGCAGGGTTTTGTGTCAGCGTCAACTGGGTAGGTTCTCTTATTACATTTCCTTGGTCGTGAGGTATTGGGGGGCAGGGTGTGGTTGGTTGTCCGTGGCTGGCTGCAGTGGGGTTGCTTGCGTTTGTGAGGGGGGAGGGCTTGTTGGGTCAGGTATGCCAGATTCATTTGTATGCTGTGGGTGGATTCTTGTTGTTGTCTTGTTGGGCTGTGTATGTGATAAGGGGGACCCATACTGGGGTAAAGGAGTCCTATTTGTCCCTGTGTCAGTTTCAGTTTATTGGTTAGCTTTTCTAGTAAGGCTGTTTCCCATACAATTTGGTACCACTGGTCCATGTTCCCTCCTGACAGGTCTCTCCAGTGCCTGGCTATGAGGCTTCTGGCTGCTGAGAGTATGTGGGTTATAAGCTCTGAATAATGCGAGTGGTCATTATGATCTTGGAAGGTGTTCAGTAGGGCCACTTCTGGAGAGAGTTCTAATACCTGTTTAGTTATTTTGCATATCTCTTGTAGGACTGCTATTTCCTTACCTCTCTGAGGTTCTGTCAGGCATTGACCAACACACTTCCATGCCATTAGAGCTAGAAACTGGACAAATCCCATATCCTAAATCAAAATGAGGGATCTAGGGCTGTCAAAGGGGTCGTGTGGTTGAATGGGGAGGAGAGCAGGGGAGAGAAGTAGATGATGTAGGAAGAGGCTGTCAATTTGGGGTCTAGCTAGGGCCGGGTTGGGCACAAATCACTCTGGGTTAGACCTGGGCCTGATCAGGATGGCTGAATTGAGCCCTGAACCAATTCCTTGCCCAACCCTTCTAGAAACTTAATATTTAATCATTATTTTTTAAAAATGAAAGCTGAGATTGTTAAGAGGCTGAGCCTGAACATCATTTTCAGTGCTTTTGTGCTTGCATAGAACCACAACATCCTTATTAGGGATGGGGGTGAAATTCCATTTGGTTTGCATTTTAAGGAAGAACTCCCTAATTCACATGTGAGCTGAAACATAGCTATCTGTGAAAATCCACACTTCTCTGAAGTTTGGTGATGCTGTTCTCCCACCAAGCAATGTATACAAAAATGCAAATGGTTGGGGGCGGGGATTGCATTAAAGTGCATAGAATAAGAAAAAGCAACATATGAAAACATCTTGCATTAGGGGGAATGACTTGTACAAATGTGAATATTAGTCAAAAATGACATGAAGAATCTGTTTCTTGGGAGAAATTTGCACCAAAATCCTAAGAAATCTTTGTGATGATTTTTTTTTAATGCAGATATGTGGCGTGTTGAATTTAAGATCAGAAAAATGAAAAATGGGGAGAAATTGGAAATCTGCCCATCCTGAATACACACAGACTTGATATGCATGACCCTATATAATGGAGAACCATCTCTTTAACTATGAAACCTTTTGCTTTCCATAACTAAACACATTATTAGACAAATGCCCCACTATCAGAGTTGTATCCTCACAGTGGCTGCTGCAGTTTTTCATCTCTATGCTCTTGCCAAATCAACAGTGTGGGTCAGTCCCTCCTCACCACATCCTGTGTCTGCTCTGTAATGTGGCCACCCTGGGGAATACCCCAGGATCCTGCAGAGCAGCCTGCATCTTTTTAAGGATTCTTTGCTCTCACTTTGTTCTGACATCTGAAAGGCAGGAGACCATCCTGTTTCCTTTATTGGGGTCATCTGCCTTCCTTTTTTTTATCCTCTCAGTCTCTGGGACTCTTCTAGTCACTTCTGTCCTACTGTCAGACTCCTCTGCATGTCTCTTTCCCTTTTGATTGTGGGTTGAGCTCCTTGCTTCCCTCAGTTCTTTCTCAAGGGAGGTCAGGAGGAGAACACTTTGCTGCAATGCATTAAGATCAAAAAGTTCCACATTGCTCTACCTGGCAATCTTGCAAACAGGGAGGAAAGAGGAGATAGCAGGAGAGGACCATGAGGTTTATATGGTAGCCATTGTTGGCTTGCAGTTTTCGGCTTTGGATTCAGCCCAGATTTGGGAAAGGGCCATAGCTCAGTGGTTGATCATTTGTCTTGCATGTAGAAGGTCACAGGTTCAGTTCCCAGCAGAGCTGGGAGGAGAGAACACCTTTCCCAAAACATACCGACCAAAGTTATTTTAGGACTTCTGCTTGAGATCCTGGATACTGTTGAGCACATCAGTAGTAGGGCTTGCTCTCCAGGATTTGAGATGAGGAATCTTTCCCCAGCCCTACCTGGAGATGCCACTGGGAATTGACCCAGGGGCCTTCTGCTTGTAAAGCAGGGGCACTAGGGCTGAGCAATGGCCCTTCCCCAAATAATAATATGACCCTTCCTCTCCTGTAACAAGACTGACCTTTCTTGCAGGGCTGTTAGACTTTGTGATGCACCTTGCAATAAGCTATATCCACAAGCAACCAGAAGAAGCCCTTTTGGGAGGGTGGATGCAGAAATCCCAGCAAGGAAAACCTAGAAGCTGCTTTTGTAGCACTATCTCCTGGGCCCTGGGCACCTGTTTGCCAGGTAATTAATTCTGGAGGGCAAATCTCCATTCCTTTATCACAACAACAGCATGGAGGGTACATCTCTCCCCCCCTCCTTACCTTTTTTCTTTCCACGTTTTAGAGCTGAAAAGGGCTCCCTCCTCCTCTAGGGAGCAATGGAACAGGCTTGTAAAGGAACCCGGGCCCCGCAAAACAATAACAGTAAATAACGCTCACCGTCAGTGTCATAAAAAATGGGGAAACGGTTACAATGTTTTTTAATAAGTGTCTCCCATAAATCTCCGTTTGGCAGGAGGGGGAGGCAGAAGGCAGTGAGCATAGAGGCACTGGCTTGGAGGCAATTTCAGGGGTAGGGTGGGGAGCAGTATTGTCAGAGGAGAGGAGCAAGAGATTTGGCAATATTTTGTCACTAGTAAAAATGAGCAGTTACAAGTTAATAGTCCTGGGCAGATGAGTCTCTGAGCAGCTCATGTCAATTTCACCTGGGTTCATTCATAAGTGTAATCTGTCCCGTTTCCATGTTAATCTGTGAGGTTGTTTTTGTTTTTAAAGAAAGTTCAGTGCACAATTTGTATTTAAAATCCATATTCAGTGCATGCATTTCTAAACATATTTTTTCCTAAAATATACACTTTTAGTACATTTGGCACTTTTCCAAAGCTGATCATAGGATCACAAAATTCAGGTGAGAGCCAAATTCAAAGGTGGTTGTGGTTATTATTATCATTATTTTTAAATTTTATATCCCACCTTGTCCTCCAAGAAGCTCATGGTAGCATACCTGGTTCTCCTCCTCCACGTTTAATATCCACAACAACCCTAAGAGGCAGTGATTAGCCCAAGGTCACCCAGTGACCTTCATGGCCAAGTGGGAATTCAAACCCTGGTCTCCCAGGTCTTAGTCTGATACTCTAACAAATGCACCACACTGGCTAATGATTATGTTCCTTAACTCAACCTTAGATAGAATTATTACATAGCCTTGCTACCCTAGCTTTGGACATCTGAAATGTATATATTTTAAAGAACACACCCCACCATTCTTCTGACTGTAAATTGTTTTGACCAATTCTAATATTGTCATTTCATTGTAACCTTTCGTACAGTCTCTAGTTGTTGATGACTACAACAACAACATAAACTAGTATAACAAGGGCTACACCCGTTAGTTGATTTAATAGACTCCTTTATTTTTTTAAAAATAAAAAATATATTTTAATTGTTTAAAAGTGGGCCTGACTAGCTTGTCAGTAGATTTCCCTTTTTAAAAAAGTTCTAGTTGTTTTAAATACAAGCATATAAGCACAGAGCAAAACTAGAGATGGTGAGTGCCATCAGAGAAAAGGCATTCCCGCCTTTGTTTGACAGGAAAGCCGCTCCCTTATGTTAAGTCAAAGCTTTGGATCCAGCACAGAGCAAGCATGTCTCCTGGTCTCCAGTCCCAGCCTGTTTCCAGCTCAGCTCTCACACTACACAGGCTACTGTTCTCCTACCTAACAGTTTGGTGATGGGGTGGAGGTGGAGCCTGGAGGGCACCATCACTTAGTCATAGTTCTTGCAGCCTAGCTTGTTCTTTTTTGAATGCTGATGAAGACACTTAAGCGGCCAGCTTTGTGAAGAAACTTTGTAGAATCATAGAACTGTAGAGCTGGAAGGAACTCAAGAGTCACCTAGTCTATCCCCCCTGCAATGCAGAAATCTCCACTAAAGCATCCATGACAGATGTCCACCCAACCTCTGCTTAAAAATCTCCAGGGACAGAGTGTACACAACCTTGTGAAGGAGTCCATTCCACTGTCAAACAGGTCTTGCTGTGAAAATGTACCCCCGGAAGTTTAGTCGGAATCTCCCTTCTTGTAACTTAAACCACTGGTTCAAGTTCTACCTTCTAGAGCAGAAGAAAACAAGCTTGTTTCATCTTCCATGTGATAGCCCTTTAGATATTTGAAGATGGTTATATCACCTCTCAACCTCCTCTTTCCCCAGCTAGTCCAGTTCCGCAAACTCCTCTATTAGGTTCAAACTCTCACTGGGTACAGGATCCCAAGAACCGGAAAGACTCAAGGCATCATCCAGACTGAACTTGCCCCAAACTCACAACAAGACATTTAAAGCACATGGCTCCCCCCTACCCAAGAATTGTGGAAACTATCCCAAACAAATTGACAGAATTCGCAGAACTTGCAAATATGACAGCCAAAAGAAGGAATCAGGATGAAAAAAAGACAAAGGGCAAATGGGATAGTTTTTTGAAATAGATAGATAGATAGATAGATGATAGATAAAGATACAAAATCAATGTACAAACAGGGGTAATCCTATGAACAACAGTTAAATACAATGAGGGATTAGAAGTGGGAAAGTAGGGTGGACTAATAAACTGATATGCAGCAATGCAAGGTTTATCAAGAGTGCCATGGAAGGTCAGGCTGAGAAGTCTGCACAGAAATTATGTATGATGTGTAATTATAAATATGGAAAATGCAAAAACAAGAACTAGTGGAAACTGTCATTTGTGAATGGTGCTGGGACTTGAGCGGTAAACTACAGTTCACACGAGCAGATGTCATGTGCATTAAATGTGCTTTAAAAGTACAGTGCATGCACAGCTTAAGGCTGGAGACAGGCAGCAGATTTTAAGAAAGCCAAAAGCATTTTTGAAGGGCTTCATAAAAAGATTTAAAAATAATAATTATTAGATTCTCAAACCTTTATTGGCTTATGTACAAGATTCCAGTAGGGTTCAATACACACCCAAAAGAAAACGCATTCACACAAAAAACCCCTACATCTAACACTTACGTTAGTGCTGTATAGTATTCACAAATCCTCATTGTGTGTTGCAGAAACCTGGCTACTATTTCCATCTTATCCCCATCTTGAGTAAACATAAGGAAGGCTACCACTTCCCCTCATTTATGGAAACAATTCTGCCACCATTGCCTGAGTCAAGCAGGATTTTGCAGGGTTTTTAAAGCAACTTTTTGCCCTCCCCCAACTCCCTGATTTATAACCAGAGATGTTGGGGGTTGAGCCAGGGACCTTCTGCATGCAAAGCAGGGGTGCTACCACTGAGCTCTGACCTTTCCCCTTATGCTGGTGTAGTTTCAGTTAAGGCAAACATAATTGGCACATCTAGTTGAGAAGCGGGGACTCAGTTCAGAGTAAACACATTTCTTTTCTAAAAAGAAACGCAGAAAAAAATTGGAAAACAAGGTAGTCATTTGCTTGTTCAGGTCCTTAGTCTGAATGATGTAAAGGTTTCAGAAGTGGGATTGCTAATGGGCCAGAAAACAAACAAACAAACAAACAAACCCTGGCCTGCCTTTGACAGCAGCTCGATTTGAAGAACTGCACAGGTGAAGCTGACCACAGCACAAAGGTGATGGCTGTAGATCGAGCTGCGCTTAAGGGCAAAGGAGGAAGAGGTGCTGAAGAAGTTGGCAACTCAGTTCAGAGTTTTATTTACTTATTCCTTATTTCTTCTTAGCAAAATAAATTATCAATAAGAAAAAATTAACAATAATAATTTTAAACTTTGAAAAAGTTAAAACAGCAATAAACTAAAAAAAAAACCTCGCACCTGCTACAACAGCAGCAAGAATACTCATCACAAAGTATTGGAAGACACAAGAGCTACCCACACTGGAGGAATGGCAGATGAAAATGATGGACTACATGGAATTGGCGGAAATGACTGGCAGAATCCGTGACCAGGGAGAAGAGTCGGTGGAAGAAGATTGGAAGAAATTCAAAGATTATTTACAGAAATATTGTAAAATTAATGAATGTTAGAGTGATGTTGGATTGAAATTAAGTGGCTTCTAGCTGTACAGGCTTTAAAGTTATAAATATATCAAGATTAAAGATTAGGATTAAAAAGATTAAAAGAATGGAAAAATTGGTTTTTAATAGGTAAAAATTTTATGTTATATTATATTAAGATTAAGGATTGGGATTAAAAAGGAGGGAAAGGAATTGCTGGACTAACAAACTGAATTGGAATACAAAAGAGGGAGGTATGAGGAGGTCCGGGAAACAAGTAAATGTAAAAGTAGTGATGAAAAGAGGGAATTGTTTTTAACTGTTTTTCTTTTTTCTTTTTGTATTTTGCATTGTGTATTTTTCTTCTTATTCTTGAATTTTTCTTTTTTGTTGATGTGATTCTTTCTTTGTGAAACTTTAATAAATATCATTTAAAAAAAAACAAAAAAAAAACTCGCACCAACTTTGTAAACATTTGGGGGGACTCATCTAAACAAAAATATTTTAACAGGCGCTGAAAAGAGTACAGTGAAGACATCAGCCAGATATCAATAGACAGGGAGTACCAAAGTGTGGGTGCTGCCACAGTAAAAGATACAACTTCTTACAAGAGTGGAACGGTATTACGTGTCACATGTAAGAGTGCCAGTTCTGCTGACTGAAGTGGTCAAGGGGGTGTATATGGGGTACGGAGATCTCATAGGTAAACTTGTCCCAAGTTGTTAAGGGCTTTATTTATTAGGGTTTTGCAGTCCTAAGCACGCATTACGTGGAAGTAAATCTCATTTAAGAATGTAAGTGGATCTCTGCTGGTTCATCCAGTCCAACATCCTGTTCACAGTGGCTAACTAGATATTCCAATGGGAAACCCACAAGCAAGACCTGAAAGCCACAGCATCCCTCATCACTTTATATTTCCACCAGCTGGTGTTACATAGTAAGTGGAGATACAACTTCCAAATGTAAGAGGAGCCCTTCTGAATCAGGCCAGTGGCCCGTTATAGTCCAGCATCCTGTTCTCACAGTAGTCAACCAGATGCCTTAATGGGAAGCCCACAAACAGAACATGAACACAACAGCAACTCATGGTTCCCATTAGCTGGTGCCACCAGTAATGGAGGTAGTATATCTATAGCCATTGTATCTTTTAACCAATATGGCCTTCTCCATAATTTTGTCCAATCCTAATTTAAAACCATCCAAGTTGGTGGTCATCACTGCCTCCTGTGGGAGTGAGTTCCACAGTTTAACTCTGCGTGAAAGATTTCATTTTGTCTGTCCTGAATCTTGCAACATTCGGCTTCATTGGATGTCCTCATATTCTAGTTTTATGTAAGAAGAAGATATTTTTCTCCACACAATGGAGAAACACCCAACCTCTGCTTAAAAACGTCCAAGGAGAGAGTGTACACAACCTTGTGAAGAACACAACCTTGTCCATTCCACGTCAAACAGGTCCTGCTGTCAAAATGTCCCCCCTGAAATTGGAGGCTCTCCTCCTCTCTCTCTCTTTCTTCCTCCTCTCTGCGACCTCCCCGACTGCGTTCCTGCCTGCGTGCCTGCGGGACATGGCTCCCCCCTACCCAAGAATTGTGGAAACTATCCCAAACAGAGATAGAACCTCTGTCATATCCTTCCTGATTTGCCTTCTTCCCTAAGTTCAAAGGCCCCCAAATGTTGTAACTTTTCCTTATATGGGAATTGTTCTAGGCCCTTGATCATCTTGTTTAGTCTTCTCTGCAGGGGTGTTGTGGGTGTCCCAACTCCCAACAATCCCTTCCAGCATAACCAATGGTCAGGGATGATGGGACATGTAGTCTAGCAACATTTGGACAGGTCCCTCAACCTTGTTTTTCTTTAAGGGACTTACTTCTGGGTAAAAGTGGGCTCTGCGGACCAACTTGTGGGTGGTGGTGGGAGTTTGATCATGGTTTTATGGGAGGAGACATTTTTGCAGGTCTACTTGATAGCCCTCATAGTTAAGTGCAGTGCTATTTTTCTAGAAAAAGAGGTGCTAGAACTCACCATGAATGTCTCCCTTGTTCTCTTAGAATGGCAGTATCGCCTACCTGAGAGGTGCCAGAACTGAGTTCTGGCGAGTTCTAGCTGAAAAAAGCCCTAGTTAAGTTGAATATGTAGGTTAAAAGGCAGTGTATGTTTGAGAATCAGGTTTTATCTGCATAATAAAGCTGAATCATGCCACTTTCAACAGTCATGGCTTCTCCCAAATAATATTGGAGACTGTCATTTTTTTCAGGGTGCTGAGAGTGGTTAGGATACCCACTAATTCCCCTCACAGAACTACAGCTCTCAGAGTTCCCTGGGAAAGAGGGACTAATTGTCTGGGAATTGTAATGCTGCAAGAGGAATAGGGGTCTCCTAACAACTCCTAGCACCATTGGAGAACAGTCCTCTATTGGTAGTAGTAGTAATAATAATAATGGTGGTGGTGGGTGTCATCAGAGAATACTTCCAAAATTAGAGGCCCCCATCCAACAGAGGACTGTCCCCTGACAGTACTGATAGTTGTTATGAGACCCACCTATTCCCACTCGCAGAGCTACAGTTCCTAGTCTCCTGCGAAAGATGGATTGATTGCTTAAATCATTCTGGGAATCGTAGTTCTGCGAGGGGCATCAGGGTGTACTAACAACTGTCAGAGACTAGTCCTCTATTGGGACAGACCTTCAAGATCAGAGGATGCCCTCCAATAGAGGACTGTTGCCTTGAAAAGCAGGATCTGTGGCCACACTAGACTATACTGGAAGTCTGGGCCTGATCCAGCACATATGTCCTTATGCCCTTTGATCAGTCAAACTGTTTTTTTAAAAGATTTTTTTTTAAAAAAAATAACTGTACAGGCGGGATCTCAGAAGGAGAGAGAAAGAGGGAGAGGAGAGGAAGATGAGGGATATGTGTGTGAGAGAGAGAGAAGCAAAGAGTGGAAAGATGGAAGAGAGAAAAGCATGGTTACTATGGCAACGGGGAACAGGAAATGGCAGAAAGGCGTTCTGCTGAGGCCTGCAAAGAGCCAGGAGCAGCGGAGGCTCTCCTCCTCTCTCTCTCTTTCTTCCTCCTCTCTGCGCCCTCCCCACTTACGTTCCTGCCTGCGTGCCTGCGGGACAGCGTTTCCCAAGAGACTCTGCCGATGAAAGCCAGGCTTCATGCCAGCTCCCTCCCCTCTGCTGGTTGCTCATTAAATTTCTGGGCCCTGATCCACCTTCTCTCAAGGAGCAATGCAAAAACAAAATAGAAAGAAGGTCGGGATGCAACAAACGAGAACGGCTCCTGGGCCTTGACTGGGGTTTTTATTTCTCTGCCAGCTCTTTCTCTCCCCCCGCCCCCCTTGCTTGCTCTCACTTCTACGAGCCTTTAACAGCCTCTCTGACACGCAAAAATTAGGGATGTGCCTTGCTTTAGAACCCCACCAGGATTGGCAAATTCCCTCCCTGGTTTGCACTCCCAAGCTTTTGCCAGTAGTTTTGTTAGGTAGATATCTGTTAAGGGAAGCTTCTGCCCATTGTTTGATCCCTGATGCCAAAGGACTCTGTTGTCTTTCTGCCCACAGAAAGGGACCGTGTGTGTGTAGAGTTGGCATACATTGTCTCATAAAATTAGAGTTGGCAAATCAGCATTTGTTGAAAACATAGGAGGCAGGAGGAACTGGATGGAGGGGCATATGCTGAGGGTGACAGGGTTAGGAGGACCTTCTCAGTGATCTGTTCAGCAGCTGAAACAAATAGGACAACCAGTTCTTTAAAGAAATGGTGGAAGGGGTTGTGGTCATCTTATCACCTAATAACGCAAGTGAGGAACCTCAGGCCTGGAGGCCAAATGTGACCCTCCAGACCTTTTTGCCTGGCTGTTTTGGAACTCTTCCCAGGCCACACACCCTTTCCCAATATCGCACCCTCACTGGCTCTGCTTCACACCACAATTGTTTCTCCCCCACCCCATGGCTGAAATGTATAGCGGAACCCCACTTGCATTTCTTTATGAAGGATAGATAGGGGTGTGTGTAGAAACTAGTTTACTGGACAAAAGTAAAATTTGCATCCCTTATTCCACCCCTTTTACCTCTGGCCCTGCCCACTACTGGCAGTCCCCAGAAGAGAATGTGACCCGCAGCTGAAAAATGTTCCCCCATTGCTGCCTTACATGGCAGGGTTAAATGACAGGAGCAAATCCAAGTTGGGAAACAGTGTCAAATCCAATCTGAACATTAAAGTCTTCAAAGTTTAACAATTGGAGGGGGCGCCAAAGGTGGCCTTCACCTGGGGCACCATTGCTCCTTGGAGAGGAACCTCCCAACTTTCCTAGACAGTCCTTTCTCACCTAACTGGTGTTGACTTTCCCTCCAGTGCTAGTCTGATACTCCTAGGAAGCTGACCTCATTTCCTACTTCCTTCTTCATCCTCACCTTGGGAGAGGAGGCATCTTTGGTGTCTCCCCTGTTGAGATATGAGAGCAAGGATGGCTCAAGGCATCTCTACCTTAGTCAAACACAATCAGAATCTGTCCTATCAAGCATGTATTTCCTGTTGTAAACATAGCTTTCTTGTTTTCCTAAATTCAGAGTCTCAGTTTGATTATAGCCAGGGTAAAATATGCTCCTCCAAAATTAAGTATCTGATGGATTGTGCTGGATTGTGCTTGGCTAAATGCATTTTAGTGAACATAATTTACACAATTTGGGTGCAATTTTGCCTAACACACCAAAATTCCCTGGATATAAGGCACTTTCACGTGTTATTTCCACAAATATATCCTTATGCATTCTTTCTCTTCCATGTACACATTTTTGGACACACTCCAAAGAAGGGTCTGGGCCTGGGGAAGACTTTAGTCTGAAACCATTGAGAGCCGCTGCCAGCCAGTGCCAACAATACTGTAGTAGCTGCATTGATGTTCCTATTTAATTATGTCTTTTCCTCAGAGCCATGAAGACTAGATTATTTTCAGGGAAACACCCATAGCTCAGTGGTAGAGAACCTGCTTTGCATGCAGAAGGTTCCAGTTCAATCTGTGGTGGTATCACCAGGTAGGGCTGGAAAATACTCCTTGCCTGAATTAACTCTGGAGAGCCACTGCCAGTCAGTATAGTCAAGGTGTAGTGGTTCAGGGTCTCCGGGAGTGGAAGACCAATTACTATTTCTGTGCAAGGGTCCCAGTCTCCAGGGTCCTAGACTGGCCCAATCCACATGAAAGGGGAGCTTTCTAGCGACTGAGGAGGAGTCTTCTCACCCTTTGTGCTGATTGAAGCCAGGCAGACAAAAGGGGGCAAGTCAACACCAAGGATGGGCTCCTAGGGTCACTCTGGAGAAGGCACTCAGGAAAACAGAGGAATTGTTTTGTCTGCTCTGAAGGCAAGCATTTAGGAGTGCTGAAAATACAAGGGGCTTCAATTTCAAGAGTAGAACAGAACTTCAAGGAAAACACAACTTAAGTAACTCTGAAAAAATACCGGAGCAAATCGTTGGCTCCATGTAGGTGCTATGACTGCCATGAAGGGACCTCTGCACTTCTGAACTTGCCCACATACTCCCGTAAGCAATACTGAGCTGAGTGCACCAATGATATGATTCAGTAAAAAGCCACTTCCTATGACCCTATGGTTCAAGAACAGCACTGCAAAAAATCAAGGAAGTGTTTAGTTTGAAAGGTTTGCAGTATCTAGGTTTGTTTCTTGTTTTGCGAAGGGAGGATTTGGTAGGCTTCCCACCAGATGTCAAAGAGAACAACAACTACCAGACTTTTAGAAGACATCTGAAAGCAGCCCTGTTTAGAGAAGCTTTTAATGTTTGATGCATGACTGTATTTTAATATTTTGTTGGAAGCCCAGCCAGATGGGCAGGGTATAAATAATAAATGATGATGATGATGATGATGATGATGATGATGAGAAAGACACCCAGGTTGCTGGGAATACATCTCAAGGCCCCTCACCTGCCTGTTTACAGTGCTGGGTTGCGGTGTCCAATAACTCACCCAAGTGTACGGGTACCCTGATTGCTCTGTTAATAGGCCCTTGATGCAGTAAATCCGTCTCATTTCCCCTACTTCCACTCTTCCTCACTGTGGCTCTGGCCATCATCCTTGCTATATCTACTCATCAAATTCATGGTGGAATCCTAATCATACCTGCCTGGTTGCCTCTCTCACAGGAGAGGCTTTAGAATCGCTACCCTTGGTTTCCTTTGTGGGCAGGAGCAACTGTAGACAAGGTATCTTTGTCACAGACCAACAAACCCCAAACACCCCTCTCTAAACATGAAAATATAGAAATCTGTTGATCAATTGGCTGAAAAGGAACAATAAGGATAAATGTTTATGTATTTTATTATTCCATAAATACAGCTACACTGAAGTCCAGCTCTGAGGGCTTTCTGGCAGTTCCCTCACTGCGTGAAGTGAAATTGCAGGGAACCAGGGAGAGGCCTTCTTGGCAGTGGCACCCACTCTGTGGTTTACCCTCCTGTCAAATGTCAAGGAATGGGAGTGAAGGCAGCAAAGAAGGCATACTTTCATAAGACTGTCTCTCCCCCATATGAACCAACGCTAAGGTTACCAGATGTCCCTGTTTCCCTGGGACAGTCTCCAGATTTACAAATTAGTCCCCATACAAAATCCATTGAAGTTGAAAAGTGTCCCTGGATTCATTGAAAAAAATCTGGTAACCTTAAACCAACCTGGCTCCTGCGATCATCATCTGATGCCTTTCTTTGTGTGCCTCCTCCACAAGAGGTCCAGAGAGTGGCAACACAAGTGTGGGTCTTTTCTGCAGTGGCTCCCTGTTTGTGGAAGTCTTTCCCCAGGGAGGCTCACCTGGCGCCTTCCTTACAAATATTTAGGCATCAGGCAAAAACATTAATCTCCTAGGCCTTTGGCTAATTAAACAATCTGTAGCCTTGTAAACTGGGGTGAGGGGTTGTTTTTGTCCGTTATTATGGTATGAATTTTTGTATTTATATACAATATTGTAAACTGCACTATGATCCTTGGATGAAGAGTTTATAGAAATGTAATAAATAATAATAAAATACTACTATTTGCTCTTCCTGTTTTTTCTCATCTTTCTCTTCTTCCTGTTTCTCTCCTCCTCCTCCTCTTTAATTTATGTGCCACTTATTGCCGTACTAGCCCTTTAAGCGGTTTAGAAATATAAAAACCAATCTCATCTATTAAAATATAAACAGCTGTAATCCAAATGGAGAACAAAACAGCCCCATTAAAATACTAATGTCTGTAATCAAAATATAACTTTTTAAGCCAACCTTTCTGCTTAAAAGCACTCAAAATGGCTTGCAAAATAATAAATACATTTGTAATCAAAATTATAGGTATCATAAATGCCCTAATAACATCATTTTTATATATTTGTAACAGTATTTTAGTGGGAATAACTACAATATCTTCAGCTCCCCTTCATGTCTTCACCTGATTTGAATTTTGACTGTTCCTCAGGGGATGGCCTCTGTCACTGCCTGTCAGTCTAGCCTACCTCACAGGGCTGTTGTGGGGATTTAACAGTGGGCGAAGACCAATGTATGCTACCTCAAACTCCTTGGAGAAAATGTAGAGAACTGCCCTCTGTCAAGTATCCTTTGCTCACACATGGATTGTGCCACATGAATCAATTGGATGGATTTGAGGAAGAAGGGAAATGAGGTCATCCAAAGTGAAGGTATGCAAATTGGGCTGCTTTACAAATAGATTCAGAATAGAGGATTGGATTTCATCTAAGTGATTAGGTTTATTTATTTATTTATTTATTTTAAAAAAGAGTGGCACTGAATAGGAATGGAATAGTGAGGCAGATGCTCTGTCACTGAGCTACAGTCCTTTCCTTAAATGCCAACTAAGATTCTAGTCCTCATAATTCAGAATAAAGAAACTTCAAAAACTGTTTATGAAGAGTCAGACCGTTGGTCCATCTAGATCAGGACTGACCACAATGGCTGGCAGCAGTGGCTCTCCAGGGTTTCAGGCAAGGATGTGTTTCCCAGCCATACCTGGGCCTCTCTAATTTAGAGTTGCCCACACAGCATGGGTGCCAACTTAAATAAAATATGGGGAGCCCCACATAATGGATCACAATACATGGCGCACACACCATGTGAATGGCAATACCCATTAACTTTGTGGGGGGAGGCACTGGCCCCCTCAAATATTTTATTGGGGCACAGCTCCTCAGAATGGGCTCCTATGCACACACAGTGACAAACAGCAGCTCTAAGTTCCAGGTAAGGACATTTTCTCTAGTCCTACCTGGAGATGCCTTTAGGGATTGATAACCTTCTGTATGCAAAGCAGCTGCTCTTACCACTAAGCTGCACAACCTCCATGACTTCCTTCTTTTCTTCCACCTTTCCCTTTTTTAATACTTTTGTTTCCTCCACACACACACACACACACACACACACACACCGCCCTCTTCCTTCCTCCTCCTCTTTTCTCTAAGCCCTGCAATAATAATGGCCTTTTCTTCTATCCAACTAACTGCCTGCTCTGCAGCAGAGAGTTCCAGTGGAGTGGGAGGCAACTCTAGCCAGTGAGGAGTTAACTTCTTCCCCATGCAATTGCCTCACCCCTTGGGCCCCACCTCTATCCCTCTCCCTCCCCCCCCTTTTTAGGGGGGGGAGGGTGTCTGTCCAGACTGCTGTTGAAAAACAAGGCTGTGGGTGATCTCCCCTTCCCCCAATTCAGCTGTGTGTGGCTTCCAAAGACAGCATAGGACAGCTGCATTCACCCACCCTGGCCTTGCAGATGGATGGAGAAACGTGTGTTTGTGTGTGTGTTAGAAATCTAATTGTCTGCTGTCTAATCCATCAGACGTTTTGCACGAGACCTTCCAGGCAATCCAGCAAATGCAGTCCTGCCAGCCCCTCTCCTGTCTTTGAACTGCAGGGTGATTTAATTGCCTTCACTGCATGTGCACGGAGACACACACACACACACACACACACACACACACACTGTGTACAGGATAGGGGTAGCCAGCCTGGTGCCTGCCAGATGTTAGGATCCAGATCCCATCAGCTGCAGCAAACCTGGACAGTGATCAGGGATTGCTGGAGGTTATCCCAGCTCAGACCATCGGATCTAATGACCTCCATATTGTCTACACTGATTGGCAGTGGCTTTCAGTCTGGGAGTCTCTCCCAGCTTTACCTGAAGATGCTACCAGGAATGGAACCTGAGACCTTCTGTATGCAAAGCAGATGCTTTATCTTGAGGCTCAGCTCTTCCTAAAACGTAAGACCCTAGTCCTCGTGGTTCTGAATAAGGGGCTGATTTAAACAAAAACATAGGTAATGATGCCTTATAAATCTCTCACATCCTCTCTGAGATTTGAGCTGAGCTTCAGCTGCATAACATAGGAAGCTGCCTTAAATTGTGACTCAGTACAACTGTGACCATTTAAAACTGTGGTCTATTGGTACATCTAGTTCAGTGTTGTCCACACTGACTGGCAGTGGCTCTCCAGCGTTTCATACAGGGAGTTTCTCCCAGCCTTACCTGGAGATGCCATTGGGGATTGAACCTGGGACCTTCCACTTGCAAAGCTGATGCTCTACTATTGAGCTACAGCCCTTTTCTAGCTCTACAACATCTTTTGTGAGATGGGCAGAGTGGAGGGGCACACAGTCCTGAATCTTCCAGTTTTCCAGCAGACTGGATCATTGCTTGTAGGTATAAATCAGGATCATTGGATGTCCATAAGTTATTTATACCCCACCCATCTGGCTGGGTTTCCACAACCACTCTGGGCGGCTCCCATCATCATCATCATCATCATCATCATCATGTGATAAAACATCAAACATTAAAAATTTCCCTAAACAGGGATTTTGTAGACAAAATCACAGTACCTACGCAAAATGGGGAGGGCTATTAGCAGTTTTAGGGGAACCCCAAAGTTTAAGTACAAAAAACTATAGGTATGCAGATGATACCCAGCTCTACCTCTCTTTTAAATCAGAACCAGTGAAGGCGGTGAAGGTCCTGTGTGAGTGTCTGGAGGCAGTTGGAGGATGGATGGCGGCTAACAGATTGAGGTTGAATCCTGACAAGACAGAAGTACTGTTTTTGGGGGACAGGAGGCGGGCAGGTGTGGAATGAATGGGGTAACTGTGCCCCTGAAGGACCAGGTGCGCAGCCTGGGAGTCATTTTGGACTCACAGCTGTCCATGGAGGCACAGGTCAAATCTGTGTCCAGGGCAGCTGTTTACCAGCTCCATCTGGTACGTAGGCTGAGACCCTATCTGCCTGCAGACTGCCTCGCAAGAGTAGTGCATGCTCTGGTTATCTCCCGCTTGGACTACTGCAATGCGCTCTACGTGGGGCTACCTTTGAAGGTGACCCAGAAACTACAACTAATCCAGAATGTCGCAGCTAGACTGGTGACTGGGAGTGGCCGCCGAGACCACATAACACCGGTCTTGAAAGACCTACATTGGCTCCCAGTACGTTTCCGAGCACAATTCAAAGTATTGGTGCTGGCCTTTAAAGCCCTAAACGGCCTCGGTCCAGTATATCTGAAGGAGCGTCTCCACCCCCATCGTTCTACCTGGACACTGAGGTCCAGCACCGAGGGCCTTCTGGCGGTTCCCTCACTGCGAGAAGCCAAGTTACAGGGAACCAGGCAGAGGGCCTTATCGGTGGTGGCACCCTCCCTGTGGAATGCCCTCCCACCAGACGTCAAAGAGAACAACAACTACCAGACTTTTAGAAGACATCTGAAGGCAGCCCTGTTTAGGGAAGCTTTTAATGTTTAATGTATTATAGTGTTTTGATATTTTTTTGGAAGCCGCCCAGAGTGGCTGGGGAAGCCCAGCCAGATGGGTGGGGTATAAATAAATTATTATTATTATTATTATTATTATTATTATTATTGGTAATAAAAATTATGGTAAGGGTGTGTAGGGGAACTTAGAGAGAAAACAAGAACTCAGGGGCCATGGAATACTCTCTATCTATTGGATGGGAAGTGGAAAACAGAGTTGAGAGGAATGGAGAGGAAAGGAGAGCCTGAAAAAGAGCACATCTGGTTGATTGGGTTGGATCCCTGAACAAGAGCACACCATAATAACAAACAACAATTATCAGTACAGTGGTACCTCTGGATGCAAACGGGATCTGTTCCGGAGCCCCGTTCGCATCCTGAAGCGAACGCAACTCGCACTCGCACCCGCACATCTGCACGGGTCGCGTTTCGTCACTTCTGCGCATGCACGTGACATCATTTTGAGCATCTGCACATGCACAAGTGGCGAAACCCGGAAGTAACGCGCTCCATTACTTCCGGGTCGCCGCAGAGCGCAACCCGAAAATGCTTAACCCGAAGCTACTTCAACCCAAGGTATGACTGTATTATTTTTTTACTTGCCCTACACCAGCAGACCCCAGAGTTGGTTACAAAGATCTAAAATTAAGAAATTAAGAATGGTTAAGTGAAAATCTAGTTGCAGGTCCTGCTTCTACACTCTAATAGCAATCTCCAGCACTGGGTTACAATGACAATGTAGCTAACATGGGAATCAAGGGGGAAAATTCAGCATCCCTGAGGGAACCCCATGGTTTCTTAAAGGAAGAAAAGAAGAACTTCAGAAAAGAACAGCTTGATGAGGACTGAGGACTCAGCTACGTTAGTAAAACCCCCCACAAACAAACAAAAAACGTTTTAAATGTGTTATAACACTGTGACACCAGATGGCACTATAGAGATCTGTCTTTTGACAACGTGATTTCGCATTATGAAGTTTACAGCACATTTTCCTGAAACGTTTTTTTGATGCGTCTAGATCCAGCCTGAAAATACTCAGCAGCTGGAGAATGCTGACCAACCATTTTGGGAAAGGAACAGAAAAATAGTGGGGGAATGGCATGAAATTGAGTACAGTGGTACAATCATACCTCGGGTTGCGAACGTGATCTGTGCAGGAGGCACGTTCGCAACCCGCAGCGTTCGTAATTCGCGATTCAGCGCTTCTGTGCATGCACATTATGTCATTTTGAGCTTCTGTGCATGCGTGAGTGCCGAAACCTGGAAGTATCCCGTTCTGGTACTTCCGGGTTTGGCATGGTCCGCAACCCAAAAACACGCAACCCGCAGCATTCGTAACCTTAGGTATGACTGTATCTTGGTTCTCAAACTTAATCCGTTCTGGAAGCCTGTTCCAAAACCAAAGTGTTCCAAAACCAAGGCACGCTTTCCCATAGAAAGTAATGCAAAATGAATTAATCCATTCCAGACTTTTCAAAACAACCCCTAAAACAGCAATTTAACATGAATTTTACTATCTAAAGAGACCATTGATCCATAAAATGAAAGCAATAAACAATGTACTGCAGTCACACAATCAATCAATCAATCAGTAGCTGAACTGGGTTCCACACAGTCACAAAAAGAAAACAAACAAGCCGCAAAAACAAAAATGCAAAATAAATAGCAAAAACAGACAGACCTCAGCGTAACACTCAAAATGGAAGTATGGCACTCAAATTGGAAGCGTAACACTCAAAACAGAGCACGTTTGGCTTCTGAAAAAAGTTCGCAAACTGGAACACTTCCGGGTTTGCAGTGTTTGCGTTCCAAGTTGTTTGAGTACCAAGGCTTTTGAGAACCAAGGTAGCACTGTATCTTGAAAGAGGTGTGGCTGGCAGGCTAGAACACTGAGTGGCAACACTTTGCTGCAAGTTCCTCCTGCTCAGGTGCTCTACCACTGAGCAGCAACTGGTGGGAAATCTGCCCTCTTAGACTCCTAGTGGACTTCCTCTGAGTTGGAACTCCTGTGCCTCTGAGCTCTGATTGCAGATTTCCTGCTTCTGGGAAATATGTAGAAATGTAGTGCTCCCCCATATGAAGCTAATGTGCAACTAAATGTGCAATGTGCTGTGGACTGATGAACACACTATTTGAACTGTCACCCAGGCCATGGCGCATGCAAGGACCACATGGGTGTCACATTCTCATGATGCAAAGAAAGCCGCAGATGTTGTAAGCTTACACTTTGCTTGAGGGGTTTGGTTTTTTGTGACATTCCAACAGGTGCTGGCCAGACCTGCAGCTCCTGGGCTGAAGTGTAGATCGGGACCCAGTGATTCAAGGATTGGTCTGGTGTAGTGATTAGAGTGCTGGACTAGGACCTGGGAGATGTGGACTTCAGTTCCCCCACTTGGCCACAAAGCTCACCAGATGACCTTCAGGGCCAGTCACTGTCAGCCTATAACCTACCACACTATATTTTTGTAGGACTTAACCAGGATTGGGAGAACCATGTCACCTTGAGCTCCTTGGGGGAAATGTGCGGTATACAAATAATATTTATATCAGGTTGTATCTGGTGTGTTGGAGTGGTTAGAGTGTTGACCTAGGACCTGAGAGACCAGGCCAAATGGGGATTTGAACCCTGGTCTCACATATCGCAGTTCAACATTCTAACCCAGCGTTTCTCAACCTTGGGGCCCCAGAAGTTGTTGGACTACAACTCTCATCATTCCTGACCACTGGTCCTGCTAGTGACTCTGAGTATATTTCACTAAAGATGATGGGAGTTGTAGTCTAACAATATCTAGAGACCCAAGGTTGAGAAAGGCTGCCTAACCACTTCACCACACTGGTACAGCCGTCATGACTAATAGCTATTGACAGCCTTCTCCTCCTCCTTGAATTTGTCCAATCCTCTTTTAAAGTCATCCATGTTGGTGGTCATCACTGCCTCCTGTGGGAGCGAGTTCCACAGTTTAACTCTGCACTGCATGAAGAAGTCCCTTTTATCTCTCCTGAATCTTCCCACTTTCAGCTTCATGGGATGTCCATAAGTTCTAGTATTATCTACTTTCTCCATGCCATGAATAATTTAATGCACTTAGTATCACAGAATCTTAGAATTGTAGAGCTGGAAGGGACCCCAAGGGTCATCTAGTCCACCCCCCTGCAATGAAGGAATCTCAACTAAAGGATCCATGACAGATGGCCACCCAACCTCTGTTCAAAAACCTCCAAGCAAGGAGAGTCCACCACCTCATGAGGGAGTCTGTTCAACAAACAGCTCTTAATGCCAAAAAGTTCTTCCTGATATTTAGTTGGAATCTCCTTTCTTGTAACTTGAATCCATTGGTTTGGGTCCTAGCCTCCAGAGCAGGAGGAAACAAGCTTGCTTCTATCACATTGCATCTCACTTGCCTTTTCTCTGAACCCAAAAGTTCCAAACACTGCAACCTTTCCTTGTAGGGGGTCATTCCTTCCCCTTGATCATTTGGGTTGTCCTTTCCTGGACTTTCCCCAGCTCTTCAATATCCTTTCTGAAGGGAGGAGACCAGTGCTGTGCATGGAATTGTTCCCTGTTCCTTAATAATACCAAACAGATCCATGCCGAAATAGTAGACTTGTCAGAATTTCCAGATGGGCAGGCAGGTATGCACCAAAATGCAGGGGACATCAAAAACTGAAAAGGTCCCTCTACTCTGCTCGGAAAGGGGTTCAGCCAAGGAGATCTCCTTGCCCTGGGGAACAAGAGCAGGTTAGATCACCCTTATTCTTATTAAAGTTTCTGAATCATATTTGCTGAGAGCAACTCAGGAATTTGC